CACCAGTGCCCATTCTCCACTACCAATGATCCCAGTAACCCTCCCACCCTCCCACCTCATCCCCCCACCCCGCCCTGCCTCTGTGGCAGGGCATTACCTTTTGCTCTCTCTTTCCTTTAGGGTGTTGTGTTTTGCAATAGAGGTATTGAGTGGCCATCACGTTTGGTCTATAGTCAACTTTCAGCACACATCTCCCATTCCAAGCAGATCCTCCAAACACCCTTTACTCGGTGTTCCCTTTTCTATCTGAGCTGCCTTTTTCCCCAGCATGTGAAGTTGGCTTCCAAGCCGTGGAGTAAACTTCCTGGTACTAATCTCAACTATTCTTGGGTGTTTGTATGACATTCTGTTACTTTATATTCCCCAGATGAGTGCAGTCTTTCTATGTCTGTCCCTTTCTTTCTGAATCATTTCACTTAGCATGATACTTTTCATGTAGAACAATTTGTATGCAAATTTCATGACTTCATCTTTTCTAACAGCTGCATAGTATTCCATTGTGTAGATGTACCAAAGTTTCTTTAACCAGTCATCTGTTCCCAGGCAATCGAGTTTTTTCCAGATTTTGGCTACTATAAACAGCACAGGAATGAACATGCAAGTGCAGATGTCATTTCGACTATACTTTTTTGCCTCTCCGGGATATACTCCTAGGAGTGGTATTTCTGGGTCAAATGGGAGCTCAATTTCTAATTTTTTGAGAAGCGTCCATACTGTTTTTCAAAAGGGCTGAGTCAGTCAGCATTCCCACCAGCAGTGAAGGATGTTTTAAACCTTTTAATACCTGTGAAACAAAACTTCCCAGAAATCAAAATTATAAAACAGCAATAGGAATAATAATAGTAAAATATTAATTGGTTAGAGAAAAATATATATGGAAAGTGTTAGAAGAGCTCCAAATGCATCCCCTATTAAATATTTGCCTCTCAGAAGGATAGGGAAGAAAATAAATTGAGGAGGGAAGTAAGAAGAGAAACAAAAAGTAACAGAGGCAAAGGTGAGGGGCCCCTAGCACACTGGTTTATGTCTGAAAGACCACAGAATCAACAACACTGCAATCAAGAGACTGCAAGCAATTGTAATAACTAAATTTAAAATTTCAGTAACTAAACATAAAAACATGTCTGCCAAGGAGCAGGCTGGAGGGGGAGGGGGAACCTTGGGGACACTGGTGGAGGGAAAGGCACTGCGGCAGTGAGATTCGTGTTGGAACATTGTACACATGAAACTGTCTTATGAAGAACTTTGTAAGTCTTGGTGCCTTCATTTCTAAATAATTGGTTTTAATAAGTGAATATATCTACCTTCAGCCCCACACATACTTGTGGTTAGTAAGATAGAGAAGAGACCAGTGTGACAATAATAGTATGGAATGACCACGTTGGACAAGATCGGAGTGTTAAAAGTGGGTAAAGGGATATTCTTATAACCTTTCAGTACCAGTATTGCAAACCACAATGCTCAAAAGGAGGGGGCATGAAAGAGAGAGAGAGAGAGAGAGAGAGAGAGAGAGAGAGAGAGAGAAACAGAGAGAGACAGAGAGAGCGCACTCCTATGTGGTGGTAGGGAAGAAACACAGCAAGTCCAAGTGGTCAGAATCAGATTTTATTTATTGAACTGAACTTATTGGGGTGTTGGAATGATGTATGCATGAGAATTGTGATTAACAATATTTTAAATTCTGGTACCTGAACCAAAAAATGGTTTAAAAATAAAGATAAAAAATCAAGGCAAGATATGAGGGATATAGTTCAGTTGTAGAGTCCATGTCTCACATGTGTTCAGTTCCTGGTACACACACACACACACACACACACACACACACACACACGCAGAAATATCAGTAGAAAATGGATTAAATATTTAAACTGGACAATTAACATGCAGGAGGCCCAGATTTGAACCCTGCTACTGGATGGGTCCTGGGCACTGCAAGGACAGACACCACCAGACCATTTGTTGTGGTCCAAAAATTGAAATAAAAATAAGATGTTTGAACTTGAGCTGGACTGGAGTGATAGCACAGCAGTAGGGCGTTTGCCTTGCACGCAGCCAGCCCGGCCGAGCCAGGTTTGATTCCTCCACCCCTCTGGAAGAGCCCGGCAAGCTACTGAGAGTATCTTGCCCACACGGAAAAGCCTCGCAAGCTACCCATGACGTATTCGATATGCCAAATACAGTAACAACAAGTCTCAAAGTGGAGACGTTCCTGGGCCCGCTCGAGCAAATCGATGAACAATGGGAGGATAGTGTTTTGTTGTGTTTGAGCTTGAGCTTAGTTTGGACAAATGATTTCTGAACTTTGACCATAAAAGCACTGGCCACAAACAATAAAATAATAAATGGGAACGAATCTGACAAAAAACCTCCACAGCAAAGGAAACCGTTAACAGAATGAAAGTATCTTCCCATGGGAGAAAAATATTTGGGAAGTATTTATTTAATAAGAAATTATTATCCAAAGGATATTGGAACTATTATAACAAATGAGCAATAGATAAGCATAAGTCACTTTTTTTTAATGGGCAAAGAAACTGAATAGAGATTTCACCAAAGAAAAACAAATGTTGAACAGGAAGCTGGGAGCATGGGTTCAGTCTTCCCCATGACATAGCCTCCAGATCATCGGGCCCTCTTCCCACTCAGCATCTCTCGATGTGAACTGGAGGCCCCCCACGTCCTCTCTCTTTACCACCCCTGCTCCCCTTCCCCTAGAAAAAAATTATTTGACTTCAGTATTCATCTCCTCCTGAGATTCTTTTCTCTCAGACAATGAACCTGAGAGACGTGCTCAGAGATGAGGGCTGGCTTTCCTTTTCCTGCACAGAGAAATCACTGCAGCCCAAGACCACAGCTTCCTGAGAACGTTGGTGCTGGGGGTAGGGGGTGGGGGTCGGAATCGTGTCTCAGGATAGGCAGAGCCAGCGGTGGACCTCAGGTGCAGCTTCACAGCTGCCTTTGTGTGGCCACCAGGATGCCAGCATGCATGCCACGCGGGGCCTATTGTCAAACTTTATCAGTCCTAAAGCTCCTGGGAGAGATGAGGTGAGTCAAGCGGGCCAGGGCAGAGTTGGGGGGTGCAGTAGCACCCTTTCTCCAGGCTACTACTTCTCTGGTTCTTCACTTCTCTGAGGACATCATTTATATTCACTATAGAAAAACTGAAGAGAATGTATATGAGATGATATATTTTAGTTCGACTGTACTGATTATTTCAGTGCATATTAAGTTATGAAGGTTGAACACATTAAACAAATGTAATTGGGGTGGAAGTGACAGTACAGCAGATAGGGCTGTACGAACTGGGTTGGTATACAGCCAACCTGGGTTCCATCCCTGGCATTCCCTATGGTCCTCCTAGCATTGCCATGAGTGATTCCTGAGTTCAGAACCAGGAGTAACCCCTCAGCACTGTCGGGTGTGGCCAAAAAATAAACAACCAATAAAACCAAATAAATTTTGGTATTAATTATATCTCAACAGAACTGGAAGAAGGGAGATATGCTGGAGACAGTATCATAGGGGTACTACATGCAAACTCTGGAGTCACAGAACAGTGTTCTGCTATTTATGAAACTTTGAAAAAAACCATAGTAATCCTCTAAATCTCAGTTTCCTGTACTGTAAAAAGGAGATAGATAGTATCTGCCTTTTGAAATTTTCATGAGAATCAAATGAGGCAATATAAAGTCTTGACAGTGTCCTGCATTTTAAAATGTTCAATGTTGACTAATACAATTGTTCAGTTCAATAGTGTTATTAACATAGCACACTAAATACTCTATTATTATAAATGAGATTATTCTTCTTAATCCCCTACTTTGTCAGATGGGCAACACTTACATATTTCTCAAGTACAATTAGAAATACACAACTAATCAGATTACTTGGGCTAATCTTTGGTAAGCCAATTCTATCCTTCTTCATTCTACAAAGAATTCTATTAAAAAGTCTTTAAAGAGGCCTGAGCAATAATACAGAGGGGAGGACGTTTGCCTTGCATGTGGCCCCCCTGGGTTCGATCCCCAGCATCCCATATGAACCCCCCCAAGCACCGCCAGGAGTAATTCCTGAGTGCAGAGCCTGGAGTAACCCATGAGCATCGCTGGGTGTGACCCAAAAAACAAAAACCAAAAAAAAATGAAAAATCCTATAAAGAAGAAGTATTTTTTTATTAACTTATATCGAAGTTTAGGTATCAGAAAAATATAAAAGACACCTGGGAACAACTGTTCCTTCATCTCATTTATTCATTGAAAAACGAGTCCCAATGCTATGAAAATCTGGAAACCAATGTCTGAGAAATGCTCTCTAAGTGGAGACGGTCTGAGAAATCTCAAAATGAGACTCAAAACGAGTCTGTGAGTTTCCTACTGCCAGTGGTAAAACAGTCAGAACCGAAGTGCTGGCGTGACTCGGCTTTTGAAACGCGATGGAACTCTGTGGGAAGATAAACCATTTAAAAATAATAAGGGGGGGCTGGAGAGATAGGACAGCGGGTAGGGCGTTTGCCTTGCACGCGGCCGACCTGGGTTCGATTCCCAGCATCCCATATGGTCCCCTGAGCACCGCCAGGAGTAACTCCTAAGTACAGAGCCAGTAGTAACCCCGTGCATCGTCAAGTTTGACCCAAAAAGAAAATACATAAATAATAAGAAGAAACTCGGTTAAATAAGAGGAGAAAAAAAATCGATGCCAAATACACGTAAAAGGGCATCTACTTCCTGGACGACTTTGCCTGGATGGTGGGAGCGAGAAAGGCAGTTGCATCGAAAGAGAAGAAGAAGCCTCCCAGGCTGGAAGAAACAGACAAAAAAAAGACAAGCATCTGGGCAGGGTCGGAACTGGAAACACACCCCAGATGACTTAACTGGACGCCCGCGGCCCGAGCGCAGGGTGCGGCTGCGCACGCGCAGTGAGGCGCTCGCGGCGCCGCGCTCCACCGTCGGGAACCGAGCGTCGGCGTTAGAGACGCGCAGGAGAGGCGGCGACCGCGAGGGACGGTCACGTGACGCGGCGTGCGCGTCACTGCCGCTCCTTCCCAACATGGCGTCCTTGCTGCAGTCGGAGCGGGTTCTCTACCTAGTGCAGGGAGAGAAGAAGGTCCGGGCGCCCCTGTCGCAGCTTTACTTCTGCCGCTACTGTAGTGAGCTGCGGTCGCTGGAATGTGTGTCTCACGAGGTAACGCAATGGCTCCCCGAGCAGCGCCCGGGGGTGCGGGGTGGGGCGTCCTCTCAGTCCCCCCCCTCCGGCGGCTGACCGGGAACTTCCGGCCGAGCGAGGCGGGGAAAGGTCCTGGTCCTCGCTTGCTGATTGGCTAGGCCTTCCCGTCACTCAGTGATTCTGCGATGTCATTTGCTTAGGATCTGTCACTTGGAAAGGGGGGTGTTGTCGGGTGGGGCTGAGCCCATCGTCTAGTTGAAGCGATGGGGAAGGGAACAAGGACGAAGAGGGGCGACCTCTGACTCCACGACTTAGCTTTGTTAACCCGGCGGTGGGCTGGGGTGGGGAGAGGGTGAGAATTGTGCACGTTGGAGAGAAAGTGGGGGGGCTCTTCTGAGCCACTAGGGCGACTCTCCGGGACCGTGGGGACGCTTCGGGGGAAGGGGAAGGGCCCGGCATCCCATTTACGCCCCTCCTGCCCTGGAAGTTTGCTCCTGTTGGCTCCCGAAATTGGGTCCTCCTCACACTTGCGCGTTCTGATTTCTGGCCTCCGCCCAGCAGGACAGGGAGGAGCGGGCTGGGTTCGGCGAGCACTGGGGGAAGCATTCAAATAGGGTCTTTTTCTCCGGAACACTCCCAAGTGCCCACACCCTACTCCCCCCCCCCCCACCCCCGAGAGTACCGTGCTGCCCTGGACAGCACTAGTGGGCGTTGGACGATTGAGGAGAGCTCCATCCTGTCATTTCCATACAAAATCCAAACCCTTCTCCAGGTCCTGGCACATCCTGTGCAGTCAGTAAAGCTCTTGGTAATCAAAGATGTGCTAAGGGTCAGATCCTGCTGTAGAGGAACTGAAGGTTGAATATACTGAGTATTCAGTCATTCTCTGTGCCTTTGTTTTAAATCTACAGACCGATGGAGTGACTACCTTTCTATTAAAAATCTTTATTACAAGTCAAGAAGCAGACCTGTGATGTTTGCCCTAAGTGATCCACCCAGAAACTTGGAAGTAGGGCGTGGGGGGGGGATGGAGAACCGAAATTTGAACCCAAGGCGTCAATTTAGAATACACCTAGAGTGTAAAACTGCATTTGAAAACATGCATTTTCTACATGCGTAGAAACCACTCTACACGATAGTACTTAATTGGGGAGAGTGTATTTTTCCTAACCGCAAGAATAGTAAGGCAGTTAAATGATACAAGGAAAATCAGTGCCATGATGTAACATGGTACTGATTTTTCTTGTACTTTTCTTCTCCCTTAGGCTTTCTCTCCTTTGCTCTTTTTTTTTTCTCTTCCCTTCCCTTGGAAGGTCTTTTCTCTTTTAGCTGCTTCCCTGTTCTAACTCAACCCCCAGAACTTAGGGAACTATCTCTGTAGTCTCTTCTCACTTCTTCCTTCAGTTAGGATAAACTGAAGATGCCTGTAAGTGTGTCTGGAATTTGGGGTTGGGATCCTACGGTCTGTACCTCCCACAATGCACACCCAGTTCATTCATAGTTTTACCTTTAAAACACATAACAGATTGTGTCTATAAAGTGGAGGATATTAGGTTTGGGGGAAGGATGTGACAAGTCAGGGCTACAGCTGCCCAGAAATGGGGAGAAAGATGGAGTACAGAAAGCTGATATGGATAATGGGGACTCAGAGGGGCAAATGTAATTTGGAAAGGCAAGAAAGAATAAGTTATAATTTGGCTTTTATGATGTCAAGTGTGTTCATGTAGTTGGGGGGGCAGCAACTTCATTAATCTTCCCAAAGATGGTCCTGTTTATACAAATGATGCACAGAAAGCCCATTGATAGCATTGTATTGACATTCAAATCAATCTGCTTTTCCTTCTGCAGGTGACTAGAGTTCTGGAACTGTTACATAGGGTCTTTATACATTTAAAAGAAATACATTTAGGCCTTAAAAATAAAATGAATTTGTTACACTGTTTTTAAATTAAATACAGTAAGAGTGTCTTTTTTACTTAAGAAAAAATGTTTGGCTACAGCTGAATTTCTAAATGTTAATATCTGATGTTCTTCAGCAAGCCTCTTTAATAAGAAGAAAGCTTTTTATAGCCCTTCTAATACAGGTATGGTCAACTTACTGCTATTTGACAAAGTTATAGGAGAAAGATAATTTGATAACAGCTTTTCAGATTGGGATTGGGTTATCAATCTATATTCACTAAATTATCGTAGTTTTTTTTTGTTTATAGACAATTTTTCACACATCTAATACATAAAATCCTGGTGAAAGAGAACAGAAAAGATCAGAAAGGGAAAATGAAGGGTTTGAAAACATCTGGACTATTAAAAAAAAAAAAGAAAAAGTAATGATTGAGGAGTAAAACCCAAGCAGTCCAGATTTGCTGGTAAATCTGTGGTTTCTTGCCTGCTAAACTGTATTTTAAATTTCACTATTTGGCATAATAAACGCATGCAAAAATAAAATTTATTTCTTTTTCTCTGATTTTATTTCTTCTTTCTAGGTGGATTCCCATTATTGTCCCAGCTGTTTAGAAAATATGCCATCGGCTGAAGCCAAACTAAAGAAGAATAGGTAAGACTGGGATCCAATTTTTCTGGTTTTTTTTTTTCATAATTAGTAACATGAAATTAACTCTTTATAATAGTATCATTCTGTGCCAAAGATGAAATAGCCTTTGATTTTTTTTTTAATTTTTTTTTTTTATTAGTGAAACACCATGAGGTACAGTTATCTTTCCATTTCCTCATGTCCTCTTTTATTTCCTGAAGTAGCATTTTGTAGTTTTCTTTGTACAGGTCCTTTACTTCCTTTTTTTTTTTTTGAGGTGATTACTGTTTTTTAATATATTCATACAAATAATTAAACTGTACAGCTTAAACATCTATGCCTTAGATGTCAACTACATCTCAGTAAAGTTGAAAAAATAATGAAAAATTTTAAATATTAGCACAAAATATACTGTTACACTTACACTAAATTAAAATTTTTTCAGTTCCTTTAACAAGTCTCTCTTTTTTTTTTTTTTAATTAGTGAAACACCATGAGGTACAGTTGTAGATTTACAAATTTTTGTGCTTGGATCTCGGTCATACCACGATCAAATACCCATCCCTCCACCAGAGTCCATTTTCCACCACCAGGATAATATCCCTCCCCCCCCATCCCCCCCGCCACTGTGGCAGGGCATTCCCCCTTGTTCTCTCTCTCCTTTTGGGTGTTGTGATCAGCAAAAGAGGCATTGAGTGGTGAACATGTTCAGTCCAGTCTACTTTCAACCTGCATCTCCCCTCCTGGGAGGATCCTCTAAAAACCCTCCACTTGGTGTTGCCCTTTCTATCTGAATTGTCCTTTCCCCTAGAATACCCGGCTGGCCTCTAAGTTATGGAGTAATTCTCCTGGTGCTGATCTCAGCTATTCTTGGGTATTAATCTCATATTTTGTTACTTTATATCCCCCAGATGAATGCAATCTTTCTATGTCTATCCCTCTCTTTCTGACTCATTTCACTTAGCATGATACTTTCCATATTGTACCACTTGTATGTAAAGTTCATGACTTCATCTTTTCTAAGAGCTACATAGTACTCCATTGTGTAGATGTACCAGTTTCTTTAACCAGTCATCTGTTCTTGGGCACTCAGGTCTCTTCCAGTTTCTGGCTACTGTAAAGAGTGCTGCAATGAACAAACAAGTGCAGATGTCACTTCGGCTACACATTTTTGCCTCTCTGGGATAAATTCCCAGGAGTGGTATCGCTGGGTCAAATGGGAGCTCAATTTCTAATTTTTTGAGGAACGTCCATACTGTTTTCCAAAAGGGCTGAACCAGTGGACATTCCCACCAACAGTGAAGGAGTGTCCCTTTCTCACCACATCCGCGCCAGCATCGGTTGCTTTTGTTCTTTTGAATGTGGGCCAGTCTCTGAGGTGTGAGATGGTATCTCATTGTGGTTTTGATCTGCATCTCCCTGATGATTAATGATGTAGAGCATTTTCTCATGTGCTTTTTTGCCATTCGGATTTCTTCTTTGAGAAAGTTTCTGTTCATTTCATTGCCCCATTTTTGGATGGGGTTGGATGTTTTCTTCTTGTGGAGTTCAACCAGTATTTTGTATATCCTTGATATCAACCCCTTGTCAGATGTGTATTCGGCGAATATTCTTTCCCATTCTGTAGACTGTCTTTGTATTTTGGTCACTGTTTCTTTGGAGGTACAGAAGCTTCTTAGTTTAAGATAGTCCCATTTATCTATCTCTGTTTTCACTTGCTCGGCCAGTGGCGTGTCATCTTTGAACATACCATTAGCCTCAATGTCATGGAGGGTTTTGCCAACTTTGTCTTCAATGTATCTTATGGTTTCTGGTCTGATGTTGAGGTCTTTAATCCATTTTGATCTTACCTTTGTACATGGTGTTAGGCAGAGTTCTGAGCCCATTTTTTTGCATGTAGCCGTCCAGTGATGCCAGCACAATTTGTTAAAGAGGCTTTCCTTACTCCACTTCACATTTCTTGCACCTTTATCAAAGATTAGATGATTATATGATTGAGGGGAGATGTCAGTGTATTCAACTCTGTTCCATTGGTCTGCAGTTCTGCCTTTGTTCCAGTACCATGCTGTTTTGATTATTACCGCTTTGTAGTAAAGTTTGAAGTTAGGGAGGTTGATTCCTCCCATTTTCTTTTTCCCAAGAATTGCTTTAGCTATTCGTGGGGGTTTATTGTTCCATATAAATTTCAGGAGTGTTTGCTCCATTTCTTTGAAGAATGTCATGGGTATCCTTATAGGGATTGCATTGAATTTGTACAGTGCTTTCGGTAGTATTGCCATTTTGACAATGTTAAGTCTCCCGACCCATCAGCAGGGGATGTCTTTCCATTTCCTCATGTCCTCTTTTATTTCCTGAAGTAGCGTTTTGTAGTTTTCTTTGTACAGGTCCTTTACTTCCTTAGTTAAGCTGATTCCAAAGTACTTGATTTTCTGGGGCACAATTGTGAACGGGATTGTTTTTTTCATGTTGCTTTCTTCTCTCTCACTGTTTGCATATAGGAAAGCCATGGACTTTTGGGTATTGATTTTATAGCCTGCAACTTTACTATACGAGTCTATTGTTTCTAGGAGTTTTTTGGTGGAGGTTATTGGGTTCTCTAAGTATAGTATCATATCAGCTGCGAATAGTGAGAGCTTGATTTCTTCCTTTCCTACCTGAATGCCCTTAATAGCTTTTTCTTGCCTAATCGCTATTGCAAGTACTTCCAGTACTATATTGAACAGCAGTGGAGAGAGTGGGCATCCTTGTCTCGTCCCTGATCTTAGAGGGAAGGCTCTCAGTTTTTCCCCATTGAGGATGATGCTTGCTGTAGGCTTGTGGTAGATGGCTTTAATTATGTTGAGGAAGGTCCCCTCTATACCCATTTTGGCTAGGGTTTTCATCATAAAGGGGTGCTGGATCTTGTCAAATGCTTTCTCTGCATCTATTGATATAATCATATGCTTTTTATCTTTTCTTTTGTTGATATGATGGATTATGTTGATTGATTTCCGAATGTTGAACCATCCTTGCATCCCTGGGATGAATCCTACTTGGTCATGGTGTATGATCTTTTTGATGAGTAGTTGGATTCTATTTGCTAGTAGTTTGTTGAGGATCTTTGCATCTGTGTTCATCAGGGATATCGGTCTGTAATTCTCTCTCTTTGTGGTATCTCTGTCTGCTTTTGGTATCAGTGTGATATTTGCTTCGTAGAAACTGTTTGGAAGTGTTTTTGATATTTCAATTTCGTGGAAAAGCTTAAAGAGGATTGGGAGTAAGTCCTCTTTAAAGATTTGGAAGAATTCACTAGTGAATCCATCCGGGCCAGGGCTTTTGTGCTTGGGGAGACTTTATTACCATTTCAATTTCCTTGATGGTGATAGGTCTGTTCAGGTATTCCAGGTCTTCTTGGTTCAGCCTTGGGAGTCTGTAGGAGTCTAGGAATTTATCCATTTCCTCGAGGTTTTGATGTTCCGTGGCATACAGTTTCTCAAAGTACTCCCTGAGGATCCTTTGAATTTCTGTAGTTTCTGTTGTAATGACCCCCTTTTCATTTCTGATTCGGTTTACTAGGGTTTTCTCTCTCCCTTTCTTTGTGAGTTTTGCTAGAGGCTTATCAATCTTGTTAATTTTCTCGAAGAACCAGCTCTTGGTTTCATTGATCTTTCGGATTGTTTTTTGGGTTTCCATCTCATTAATCTGTGCTCTGAGTTTTATTATTTCCTTTCTCCTGTTCGGGTTGTGCTCCTTTTTTTGGTCCTTCTCCAAGCTCTTAAGCTATGAGGTTAGGTTACTTATGTGTGCTCGCTCCTCCTTCCTGAGGAATGCTTGTAGAGCTATAAACTTTCCTCTTAACACAGCTTTTGCTGTGTCCCATAAGTTTTGGTAACTCGTGTTCTCATTTTCATTCGTTTCTAGGAATCTTTTGATTTCCTCTTTGATTTCCTGTCTAAGCCACTTTGTTCAATAGAGCACTGTTTAATTTCCAGGTGTTTGATTTAGTTTTCTGTTTTTGTATGTGATTTACTTCTAATTTCAGTGCATTATGGTCTGAGAGGATTGTCGATACAATCTCTATCTTCTTAATTTTTGGAGGCATGTTTTGTGGCTCAGCATGTGGTCTATCTTGGAGAATGTTCCATGTACGGTTGAGAAGAATGTGTATTCAGCTTTTTGTGGATGAAGTGTCCTGTATATATCTACTAAGTCCCTTTCTTCCATTGTTTCCCCTCAGATGAAGTATGTCCTTGCTAAGCTTGAGTCTGGTTGATCTATCAAGAGGTGACAAAGCAGTGTTGAAGTCTCCCACTAGTATTGTGTTGCTATTGATGTCTTTTTCCAAATCTATGAGTAGTTGTTTTAAGTACTTTGCTGGTCTCTCATTAGGTGCATATACATTTATTATTGTAAGTTCTTCCTGTTGTACAGATCCTTTGATCAATAAGAAATGATAGCCTTTGATTTTTAAAAAAGTAAACCTTAAAAAATAAACTTGAAATTATTGTGAAATTGGTACAGAGAATTTCTCTTTATTCCCAACTCAGTCTTCCCTGTTTTTAACATCTTATATTTGTAGGGGTTTTTTTCTCATTTGTCTATGGAGACAAATAATGTATTGATGCATTATTATTAAATGAGCTTCACATTTTATTCAGATTTCTTTGGTGGTATTTTTGCCTAATAGCCTTTTTCTGTTCTGGAATATTCTCCAGAATACCTTCATCATTTTTTGTCTTGTTTTTATTTTAATAATAGCACAGTGGTAGGGCATTTGCCTTGTGCGCAACTGGCCTGGACGAGCTGGGTTCGATTCCTCCGCCCCTCTCGGAGAACCCGGCAAGCTACCGAGAGTATCTTGCCCGCACGGCAAAGCCTGGCAAGCTACCTGTAACGTATTTAATATGCCAAACACAGTAACAAGTCTCACGATGGAGACGTTACTGAGCCCAATTGAGCAAACCGATGAACAACAGGAGAACCGTGACCATGACCATGACTCCATCTTTTAGTTCCGTGTTCTCATATTCTTACATTTGATATAGTCATATTTCCTTAGATTTTTCTTGTGATATTTTCTTAGACTTTGCTTGGTTTTGCTCATCTTTACAGTTTTGAGTGTGGATCATATATTTTGGAGATTATCCCTGAGTTGTTGATACACCCCATATTTGTGTTTGTTTGGTGGAAGGATGCTCTATGGTGAATAGGAACCACGTGGTGCTGAAGATTGAATGCAGAGCTCTCACGTTGCAAAGCACGTATTTTAGCCCTTTGAGCCATCTCTGTGGCCCTCTCCAGTGTTTTTCTTGTTATCTAGAAGAGTATGTTTTAAGGAGAAAAATCATAGAGGTGGGGCTGAAAAATCATAGAGGTAAGGCATTTGCCTTGCACGCAATCAACCCGGTTTCGATTCCCAGCTTCCCATATGGTCTCCTGAGCACCGCCAGGAGTAATTCCTGAGTGCAGAGCCAGGAGTAAACCATGAGCATTGCTGGGTGTGACCTAAAAAGCAAAAAAAAAAAAAAAAAAAAAACCCACAGAGGTAACATGTATATGTTGTACTTACTTTCAATATGATTTAAGACAGTTATTGTTAGCTTTGATTATCTATTGAATGTTGATTTTGCCCGCATTGGGTTACATCTTTTCTTACCCTCTTTTTCCATACTATGCTCTTTGGAAGGAAAAAATCATCATCACAGCCCACACCTAAATATGGGGAGTTAGGTTCTCTAAGGCTAGCTACATAAATTGGAATTCTTTTGCATGAAAAGTTTTTCTCCCCTCTTTAATAAATAAAGGAATGTGAGCTTCTGAATGTTTATTTTATACTATAGCTTATAATCTAAAACTGGGTTTTTTTTGGTTTTTTTTTTTTTTTTTTTTTTTTTGCTCAGTTTGTTCCAGCTTTAGGAACTGTGAGCTCCTAGAGTAGACTTCTCTATTCCCTTACATAATTCCATCTTTGGGGGCAGGAGTGCTTTTTATTCAGTTGTTCTGAATTTACTCTTTCTTTTGGACACTACAAGATACTTCAGATTCATCCTGTATGTTTTCTCCCTCATTCCTAAAATGTTTTGAAAACTATTTTTAAAAGAACTCTGATTTTATTAAAGAATGGTATTAGTAACAAAAAATAGGTACTAGATATGTTCATTGCTCTGGGTACTCTTTGGTGTTTTTAAATGGTGTGAAAAAGTTTTTCACTACCAGTAATACCCCTGCACCTTCCCATGCATGAATGACTGTTATTTGACTTTCCCTTCCCTAAGAAATAGCTCCTGATAAGCCAGACACTTCTCTGTATGTTGTCCACATGTTAATTATATCATCTAACCCTCAAGCTTGCCTATGAAAATACTTTTATTGCCCTAGTTTGAGATACCATCCAGAGGCAAAATAGCAAAAATAATTAGTGTTGTGTAATAGAACTTCAGAGCATGTCCAGAAGTGTAGGAGATAAAATCTTGATAATATAAAGTGGGAGGAAAGTTAAAACCAATCTAGCACAGGTACTGTACTGGGAAATTAAAGGGGAAATGTTGGAAATTAAAATGAGATGTTGAAAATTGAAGAGGAAATGTTGGCTGGGTTTTCCTGATACTAGGAAAAGTAGTTGCTAAGGAGAGAAATGATCCAGCACAATTGGTGGAGGGTGGGGAAAAATGTTAGGCCACACTCAGCAGTACTCAGGGCTTACTCCAGGCTTTGTGCTCAGGAATCACTCCTGGTGGTCCTCTGGGGACCATTTGTGGTGCCAGCATAGAACCAAGGTCTGCCGTGAGTAAGGCTAGTGCCTTAACCCCTGTTCTCTCCCTCTGACCCCTCCATTCTAAACTGTACAGTTTGGTATAGTGTCTAACTCTCTGGCCCAACAAGCAAACTATTTTCTCTACTCAGTTCTGTGAACTAAGTTCACAGCTTATCATATCATTTCTCTTTCTCAGTTTTTTATTGTGCATTTGACCTGTCCTCTCTAGAAAGAAGTTGTAACCTTTCTTTTCTTCAAATATCTGTGTGGTCTGTACAAGCATAAAAAGAATCTGCAATAGACATTTTGTTTGTTATGTTTAGGGCCACCACCAGTGTTATTCAGGACTTGCTTCTGTTTCTGTGCTCAGGTATCACTCCTAGAGTTTCTCTGAGCACCGTACACAGTGCCTAGGATCAAAGCAGGACTGGCTGCATGTAAAGCCTTACCCCTGTACTGTTTCAGGCCCCAGTTCTACAGACTGTAAACACCGATTCCTTCTTTAGAAGATTGGTTCGGGCTCTAATTCTTAAAAGATTTCAGTGATGGTTACATTTTAAAAAATAATGAGGACTGGAGAGAGAGCTCAGCAGGGCCTATCTTCTGAGCACTGCCAGGAGCAACACTCGAGCACAGATCCAGGAGTAGCTCCCTCGCACTGCTGAGTATAGTTCAAAAATTAAAATTAAAACTATAAAAAATGAGTATGATACTTAAGAAGTTGTAAAGCAGAGCTTTTTAAAATGCCTCAGAAATATTTTTATATCTTTTTTGCTTGAGAGACGCTTGACTCTTCTAATTCTCCCTTGATTGCCTAGTACCTAAAACAGTGGCACATGGCAGGTGCTTAATTATTGTTGAATGAGTGAATGGTTGGTTGTTGTGTCGTAGGTGCGCCAACTGCTTTGACTGCCCCGGCTGCATGCACACGCTCTCCACCCGGGCAACAAGTATTTCCACACAGCTTCCAGATGACCCAGCGAAGACCACCATGAAGAAAGCCTATTACCTGGCCTGTGGGTTTTGTCGCTGGACATCTCGAGATGTGGGCATGGCAGACAAGTCTGTGGGTAAGTAGGACTTTAACGTAAGACTGATTTGGGCAGTGATGTAATTACACCACAGATTATTAGTTTTATTACCCATATGGTCCCCCAAGCACTACCAGGATCAGTTCCTGATTGCAGAGCCAGGAATAACCCCTGAGCATTGCCAGGTGTGACCCCCCCCACCCCCGGCGAAATTTTTTTTTTCAGTGTTTTTAATTGATACATGAGAAAGCCTAAAACAAAGCATTCATTTTTAAATATATATACATATGTACATATATATCTATATGTATAGATATATAATTCCTGAGAGATAGTACAGTGTCCTTGCACACAGCTTACCTGAATTTAATCTCCAGCACCACAGATGGTCCCCCAGGATCTGCCAGGAGTGATCCAAGAGCACAGCCCGGGGTAAACCCTGAGCACAGCCACGTATGGACCAAACGTCAAATAAAAGAGTTTGTTTCCCTTCCCTTTTTTGTTATTGTCATTGCAGTGACTGGCAGTGGCACATTAGGTGTTTGCGCACTTGGTTGCAGAGTGTTAGAAATTGTGCTTTGTCATGGTGCTGAGGATTCAAATGTCAGTGCTGCTGGGACCATGCTCCATCTACAGGGAGCAGTGCCAGGGATCACAGTTAACAACCTCACATTTTTCAAGGCAGCCACTGTGTCACTGAGCTAATCTTTGACTCCCTGTTTCTTTGACATAGCTAAAATGAAGAATTTGCTAAATTCTTTAGATTTCTTCTTTGGGTTTCTTTGGCGGGGGGGGGGGGTGGGGGGAGGCATGAATTTTGCTGATTATTGAATACAGGACAGGGTCTCATATATGAGGTACTTGTTCTGCCACTAAACTACGTAGAGATTTCTTTCTCCATATTCTTAAAGCAATTTGGAAGTAAATTTGAGTGAATTTTCCTTAGATTCAACTTGATCTTAAATTTTCAGTCCTGGTCTGGAGAGAGAGCCCACTGGGGAACATGCTTGCCCTGCATGCGCCTGATCCAGGTTCAATACCTGGCATCCCCTATCATCCCTCAGCACCACCAAGAGTAGTTCCTGAGTGCACAGCCAGGAGTGACCCCTGAGCATTGCTGGGTATGACCCAAAAACTTAAAAAAAAATTGATTTTTCTTGATTTTGTTAAGTTTGCCCATTGATTTAAAATATGTGAACCTTTTGAGTTGTTTTTTTTTTAATTTTTTACATTGAGTTGTTACTGTTGTTACTGTGTCTGGCATATCGATTACATTGAGTTGATAAAATACTCTTCAAAAACGAAGTTAGGGTGGGAAGTTCAAGACTCTTGTAAATGTGTATGCTTTGAATTTGGGAGGCCTGGGTTTGATTCCTAGCATTGCATAATCTAAACCCTGCAGGAACAATCTCCAAGCATTGAGCTAAGGGTGGCCTCTGAGCACTGCTGGGTCTTGCCAAAAAGAAAAAGAAAGCAAAACACACGAAAAAGTAGGCCTAGAGCTTGTAATACAGCACAACAGGCTGGAGTGCATGCTTTACCTACAGAATGCTATGATGCTATCCTTAGCACTGAGCACCAAGATGAGAGTAGTCCCTTAGCACTGCTGGTGGTTTAAGTGGTAGAGGTGGCCTTGCGTGTATGAAGCCCTGAATTTGATCCCTTGCTATCGTACAGACTCCTGGTTGTGTTCCAGACAATTTTAAGTTAACAAAACAAATCTTAGTTCCTTAAAAATTCTCTGTGTAATGCCTGTGGGGCTGAGGGCAAGTAAGGTAGAGAAGAGACCGGTATAACAATAATAGCTGGGAATAATCGTGCTAAAGAAGAACTGAGTGTTAAAAGTAGGTAAAGGGATATTCTTGATAACCTTTCAGTATCAATATTGCAAACTACATGTGCAAAAGGAGGGGGGGGAGAGAGAGAGTGGTGGGGGGAGAGCGAGCGAGCGAGTAGGCAGGGATTGGGGGTGATGTTGGAAGTGAACCTGGGGACACTGACACTGGTATTAGGAAATGTACACTGGTAGAGGGATGGGTGTTGGAATACTATATGACCTAAATCCAAACATGAGCAGCTTTGTAAGGTCTGTCTCGCAGTGATTGAATAAAAAAACGTTCTTTGTGCATAAAATTTCTTAAATTTAAAGTGAATTCATCTCCACCATCCTATATGGTTCCATGAGAACCACCAGAAGTGATTCCTGAGCAAAGAGCCGGGAGTAACCTCTGAGCATCCCCAAGTGTGGCCCCCAAGCAAAACCTAACGAAACAAAAAGTGTGTATTAGAACCAGTATATTTGTCTTTATTGATTTACTTTTGTTTGGGCCACATCCAGTGGTGCTCTGTTTCTACTGCCAGTTCAGTAGTCTGGGGTCACTCTTAAAGATGTGCAGGAGAACATGCAATTTCAGAATTTGAACTCGGGGCCTCACACATGCAACACACCTGGCTATATATAAAGCCCTAGCTAGTAGATAAGTTGTTTGCGTTTGTCTAAGAATTTAAGTTAAACATAAATTAAACCTGGAAAAGGCTCAGGAACTTAAATCACTTGACTGGCAAGCACAGGCCCTTAGTGTTGAGTTGCCCACAAACACTGGTAGGCATCCACTAAGAGACAAGCAGGCAGACCTGAGATTATACCAATGCTTCCCCAGTACTATGACAAGACTGATCAAAGTTTGGAATCCTGGTGAGGAGAACTTTAAAAATTAAAACTGGGGACCCAGCGAGATGGTACAACAAACAGGTAAGGGTTGTCTTGTTGCAGCCAAGGTGGGCTCAATCTCCAGAATCCCACATGTCCTCTAAACCCACCAGGAGTGATCCCTGAGTGCAGAGCCAGAAGTAAGCCCTGAGCACTGCCACCTATGGGTCAAAAACAAACCAAAAAAAAAAAAAGTAAGATGATCCCAAAGCAGCATTTATATACAATGTATACATTGTCTGCATTGTATACAATGTATGTATACAATGCATGCATTGTATATAATATAGCCATTGTATACATTGTATCCAATGCATACATTGTATACAACTCATGCATTATATTCATTAATATTTGTCTTAATGAGTTAAAGTGTATTTTTTCTTTTTTTTTCTTTCTTTTTTTTTTTTAATTTGGCTGGGGAGGTGGGGGGACACACACTACAACACTGTGTGGCTTGGTACTCCAGGTCACTTCTTAAGGGAGCCATGTTGTTCAGAGATTGCATGTACGTGCAAGACATATGCTCTAGTCCTTTGAATTATCTTCCCCAACCCTTATGTTTAGTCTCTTTTTATCAAATAGAGCAAAGTCCAGAAATCCGAGTAGGATTGCTCAGTTTATTACTCTTAATGTTTTATGGGTTTTTGTGAATTAAAGTCATTAGGCTTAAAGATTTTATACTTAAGAACTTAAAACCTTAGAGCATTAGAAGCCTGTTTCCTCTGGGGTATCTTGACAGAGATAGTGAGAGTGCTTATTTTTTTTCCTTCCATGATGATGTTGGTTTGAGAAGCAGTAAACTCACTGTAGTTGATTTATAAGTAAGCAGCAGTGCCATAGTTTGCAGAGGGAAGCCTATAATGATCACATTTCCCAAATTGCTTTTTTAGACTAAATTATTACCAGTTCTAAAAAGAAATGGGTAAAATACTGATTATATTTTAACAGACTCAGAATTATGTTTCATATATTTGTTTCATGGCTACCTTAATTTACCTTAAACAAGAGATTTTATTTTGGGGATTTGGGCTCACACCCAGAGATGCTCAGGGCTTACTCCTGGGTCTGCACTCAGGGATTACTCTTAGCTCAGGAGACCATATGCAGTGTTGGGGAACAAACGTAGGTCTTTCTTGTGCAAGGCAAGTACCCTGTCCCCTGTACTTTCTCCTCTGCCCAGGAGCTCTTTGGGGAAGAAATAAGAAATTGTTGAGGTTTTTTATTTTTGAGGAGGTAAGAAGGGATGTGATAGTGTTCAGGGAGGGAGTACATGGACCAGTTCACAGTGCTTGGGGACCATGCAGTGCCAGTTCTCCTTTGCTGAGCCTTTTCAACCATCTCTCAGGTCCCAAAACTTTGTTCCTAATTATGTCAGTTATACATCATATACTTATCACTAAGCCTAAGAAATGACACAACCAGGCACTGAGCACTGGTGGAAATGATCCCCAAACATTGGGGGGCAGGGGGCGGGTTTGTTGTCAAAAATGAACAGTGAAAAAAAACAAGAGGTACCTGAGAGAGAGTATAGGGATTAAGGGACACACCTTGTATGTGGCCAACCCCAGTTTTATCCATGGTATCATGTGGTCTCCCGACTTTTACCAGTTGTAGTCCTGGAGTCCCTCAAGAACCACCACATCAACTGACCTCCAAGTTTGCTGAGGATCACCAGGAGTGGCCTCCTTCCGTTGCCTGAACCCCCAGTGAAACAACCAGAACAGTTTTTGAGTCCCTTATTTTTTTTTAATTTTACGTATTTTATTGTTTACTTTTCCCAGACTGATAAATGTGAAGTGGATTTCACTATAGTTTTTGCCAATTTTTTTCTTTTTGATTAGTTTTGAGGTATAACTTATAATAATTATACTCACAGATTTTAAATCTAGATAGAATACTGTGATTTTTTTTAATTCATATTCTCTTTTTTTTTAAGTCACTGAATTACAAAATTACAGTGTTATTATTCATGATTGGTTTACGGGTGTACAGTGTTCCAACATGAATCCTTCACCAGTGTCCCAAGAATGCTGTAAATTCTTAAGAAGCACCACCACAATCATATATGACATATTTATCACCCCCAAAAGTTTGCTCATGTCCTTTTGTACTCGCTTCCTTTCCCTGAACCCTAATGACCACTGATATGCTTTCTTTGACTGTAATTTTACTTTTTAGAAGTTTATATGATCAGTCTAAACAGTGTATTTTACATTGTGTCTGTCTTCTTTTACTTAGCATAATGCCCTTCAGTTCTTATTTTTGCATTGTTGAGTAGCATTCTGTTGTGTGGATATACTATGATTTGTTTATTCATTCCCTGAGGATTTAAATTTGGGCTTTTCCCACTTTTGGCTCATAGAAATAAGGCTGCTAGGAACACCAGGTCTTGGTGGGAAATTTGGTTTTAGGTTTCTTGAGTAAATTCCTAGGAGTGAAATTACCCGGTGCATATTTAACTTGACTATAAATTGCCAAACTGTTTTTCAAAATTACTGTTCCAGATCTAATTGTAGCTTAAATTCTAATTCCTCAGCAATCCTGAATATTGTCGGTCTTGCTCATTTTATCCATTCTAACATAATTTAGTCTTAAAGTACTTAATTAGTTTTTTTAATCTCTTTTGTTTAAGGGTTTGTACAAATTCTTTGCTCTTTATATTTTCAAATATAATTTTTTTTAATTTAGGTACCATGATTTATAAAGCTGTTCTTAATAGAGTTTCAGGCATATAATGTTTCAACAGCCAGTGTCAACTTACCAGAATCCCCAGGTTCCCTACCACCCTCCAGCCTGTCTTCTCAACAGCATGTTTTTAAGTTTGGTTATTATAATTTACGTCTCATGCTTATACTGTTGTTGACTCTGTGGTTTAAAAATATACCTCCCTCTACACCACCAATGTGCCCCGTGCCCCTGACTCCTGCCACCTCCCATCTACCTCTTGCTTCTCCCCCCCCCCCAGCACCCCCCGCTTAATTTCTTTCCTTCTCTGTCCTTCTCAGTTTTATAATCTAGGGCCAGGGTAATGTAGCAATCTCTTGTTGATACTTTGCATTTCTTTGTCCTTTTATTCCATGTGTCGTATTGGAAAGTGAGATTACCCAGTTTCTATCCTCCTGATTTCTGACTGACTTAACATGATATCCTCCAGTTCCATCCAAGGTGCAGCAAATTGCATGATTTTATTGTTCCTTGCAGCCGAATAATGTTCCATTGTATACCTCTTCATTATCTATTCATCTGTCATTGGACACCTGGGTTGATTCCATATCCTAGCTATTATTTTAAGTGCTGCAATGAATAATAGCAGGATGTTTCCTTTAGAATGAATGTTTTTGTGTCTTGGGGGGGTGGGGTTAGATACTAAGATGGAATTGCTGAGTCATATGGCAGCTCTATTCTTAGTTTTCTGAAAAATCTTCTGTTTTCCAGAGGTGTACAGACAACACATCTCACAAAAGTGATGGGTTCCTTTTTCAGTACAACCCCAATGACACAGATTATTCCCAGTTGTTTTGATCTGTGCCATTCTCACTGGTGTGAAATGATACCTCATTGTCATCTTATTTTGGATTTCCCTGAAAACAGGTGATAATGAGCATTTTTTTTCCGTGTAATAATGGCTGTTAGTTTGTCTTCAGGGAAGTTTCTGTTCCTGTCCTCTCCCCGTGTTTTAATAGAGTTTTGGGTTTTTGTTGTTGATTTTTTTTTCCTTTTTTATAATTTTATTTATTGAATCACCATGAGAGCAGCTAAAAAGCTTTCGGGTTTAAGTCTCGGTCATACAGTGAAACACCTGTTCCTTCACCAGTGGCCATTTTCTACCACCAAAACCCCCAGTAAAGCCCCCGTCCCACACCTTCCCCCTACCTGTGGGGCAGATGATTTCCATGTTACTCTCTCTCTCTCTACTTTGACTACATTCAATATTTCAACACCAGACCCACCATTATTATTTGGGATTTTACCGGGCTGGAACGATAGCACAGCGGTAGGGCGTTCGCCTTACAAGTGGCCAACATGGCCGACCCGAGTTCGATTCCTCCACCCCTCTCGGAGAGCCCGGCAAGCTACCGAGAGTATTCGATATGCCAGACACAGTAACAACAAAGTCTCCAATGGAGACGTTACTGGGCCCGCTCGAGCAAATCGACGATCAACGGGAGGGCCTTTACCTTTACCTTACTATAATGGAAGCTTTATGAGCATTCTTGTCTAATTTCTAGGACCCTCAGATTTATGGTTTTATGTTTATATTTCATTTTAATATAATGTACAGATTACCTGTATTTATAAAAATAAAATTGTCAGGGCCAGAGCACGGTGCTTGCCTTACATGCAGCTAACCTCAGTTCCATCCCCAGCACAACATATGATCCCTCAGCACAACAGGTCCCACCAGGAGTGATCCCTGAGCACTGCTGAATATGACCCAAAAGCAATTTTTCAGTGAAATTTTCAAATTATTAATGTCCTGTTTAATGTCTTTATTTTGCAGCTAGTGGAGGTTGGCAAGAACCTGAAAATCCTCACACACAGCGAGTAAGTAGAGTCGCCAGGGAAGACGAAAAGAGAAAAGATACCGCAAAAGACTCAAGGTCCTCTTATTCTATGTGTAGATGTAGTCTGTGTTTAGAAAGTCATGATCTTCAGACCAGAGAAGTAATGCAGGGTACTTGCCTTGCATGTCACTGACCCTGATTTGACCCCAGATTGCCAGGCACAACCAGGAATTATCCCTGAGTACAAAGCCTAGAGTAAGCCCTGAATACTGACAGATATATCCTCGAAAGGGGACAGTGGGGGTGGAGGTATGCTTTTCGTTCTAAGACTTACACCAGTGACAATTTTTCCCAGTCTGAAACCTAAATATAGTTTTAGTTCTATACTCAGGTTGTGATAATTTAAAAAAAAAAAAGAGAGAAAATTAGGGGCTGGAGCGATAGCATAGCGGGTAGGGTATTTGCATTGCACGCATCCGACCCAGGTTCAATTTCCAACATCCCATATGGTCCCCTGAGCACCGCCAAGAGTAATTTCTGAGTGCATGAGCCAGGAATAACCCCTGTGCATTGCCAGGTGTGACCCAAAAAGAAAAAAAAAATTAAAAACTAATTTTCCCCATATTTGAAAAATAAAGACCTTTTGTTTTTTATGCATGTTACAGTTATATATGCATACTCAATAGTTTGATACAAGCAAAATATGTTATACCTGGCTCTAAACATGTTTTAAAAAAATATGTAATGGGCTGGGCCTTGCACACTGCCAAACCAGTTTCAATCCCTGGCACCCCACATGGTCCCCTGAGTGTAGAGGCAGGAGCAGCCCCTGAGCATCACCAGGCGTGGCCCAAAAACAAACCAAAAAAAATTTTTTTTTTACCTGATAATACTTGGTACTGTGCTGGCCAGAAAGTTGAGTTTGGGCATGAGATGAAAGAGAAGTTTTACTTTCATTCGTGTATTTTACAAAACATTTATAATTGTTGCTGCTTTTATGAATTTTTTTGGGGGGGCGGGGGCTTTTGGGTCACACCCAGCGATGCACAGGAGTTACTCCTGGTTCATGCACTCAGAAATCACTGCTGGCAGTGCTCGGGGGACTATATGGGGTGCTGGGGATCGAACCTGGATCGGCAGCGTACAAGGCAAATGCCCTACCCGCTGTGCTATTGCTCCAGCCCCACTTTTATGAATTTTTTAATATAAAAAAAAAAGAGTAGTAAAGAAAACAGTTTAAAAGTCCCATTTTTAGATGATCCTATTACTGCGAATTTAAAAAGAAGAGCAGCTGTGAGGAAATAATCAGTGAAGGGAACCAGACCAGTACAGTGGGTAGAGTGTTTGCCTTGCATGTGGCCCTCTCAGCCATATGGTTCCCTGGGCACCTCAAGGCGTAATTCCTGAGTTCAGAGCTAGGAGTAATCACCGGATGTGACCCAAAAAGCGAAAGCGGGAGGGGTGGTGGTGTGTGGAGTAGAAGATCAGTAAGAGCATGAAATTTCCAAACCTGTTGATTACCAGACCTATTTTGGTGTGTTTTAATTGTGAGAGTAGATCATATAATGAAAGAAATTCTCGTTGAAAAAAAGGGCAGACTTGTGCTGCTTATTAATTTGTCTTCACCATTTATTCAATTCAATAACTAATTTCATGTTTTCTGTTAAAGTTTTTGGTGAAAATTCTTTGTCTCTTATATCTTACAGATGAACAAACTAATTGAATATTACCAGCAACTTGCTCAGAAAGAAAAGGTTGAACGGGATCGTAAGAAACTGGCACGTCGTAGAAACTATATGCCTCTGGCTTTTTCGGTGAGGACTTGATGCAAAAGGTTCATTGACTGAAATCTGTGGGGCAAAAGAACAGTGAATCAGTTCATATTTCTTTGTCCTGAATGATGCGTAGCAGAAGAGTTCTTGTATATTATAGATAGTAAGTTCAGCAGTTATGCTCTTGCTGTATCATTATTTTTATTTGGATACTTTGAGGGGTTTTATTTAGTTTTCTGTGTGTGTTTGTTTAATGGGGGAACTTCCAGCAATGTTTCGCCCAGGGTGCAGGCTGGATAGTCTTGGTGCTTGGACCCAGTGGTGCTTGGGATCCACCAGAGCTGCATTTGAGGTGCGTATGGGGCCATGCACTCAAACCCGGCTTAGAGTCTCACACATGCAAGGTGTGTGCTCTCACTGAGCTATCTCCCTTACTCCATTGAAGTTTGAGTTTCAAGGGCATTTTTACGTCACTCCCCTTTCTCATCACATTATTGCTTTCAAGAGGCTTCTATTTAATGTTGTGGGCATCGTATTACTTTTACAACTTCTAGATAGTACAAAATGTCCAGCGAAGGTAAGGCATGTGGTAGATTCTATTCATATACTTGTCACCACCTTGTACAACCTGGTGGTAGTAGTTTCCCAGCTCAAGATAACATAATTTTTTGCAGCTTCCCACAGTTCTTCAGTTTTGTAAAACACAAACTTTCAGTGTATTTGTGGAACTAACAGGGGAAGAACACAAAAGAGAGGTTAAAGATAAAACACAGCGAATTGGGATTTTCCTCCAGTGGTGCTGAAGTGAGTCTAACTCATTTAACTTAAGCTCTCTGCAGGAGAAGAAAGGACAACACAGTGATAAGCCTAAAAAGCTTGGAACTATAATCCAACAGTCTACCAGTCAGAAACAACAACAAAATTGAAGCTTTTGTTATTGTCCCCCAAATTTTGTTTGCTGTTGCAAAACTGTATTTTGTATGTGTGCGTGTGTGTGTATTTGTTTGGAGACAGACAGGATACGTCACATTTATTGGTTAACAATGATGTTTGTCAAACACTGTGCTAGGCACTTTATACTAACCATTTTATTTATTGAAAATAATCCTATTAATGTAAATAACCCCATTTTACATTTAAGGAAATGAGACATTCTAAGATTAGTTTGTTACACTGTTTCCACACGACAACTATTTAAGTCATTGAAACTGAATGATTGCTAAGGTCCATATAAAAATGTCTAATTTAGAATTTAATGAAACACTAAAGTTTGCGGTTTGACTAAGACTTTAATGAAGTCTTTAATATTTCTCACTTATATGGCATATTAGTATAATCTGTATATGTGGTAATATATTTAGAAGAAGAATTAGAATTAAATGCATTATTCTTTCGACTTTCTCATACAACCTGCTTGCTGTTTTAGTTTGCTTCTACTTTATATGGCATTTTTTTTTGTCTCTGTTGCAACCCGCTGCTATTTGGGGGCCTACAGCAACACACTATTCATGTAGTGGTAAGTTCCCTTTTATGATTTTTGCTAACTCTGAAGAAGGCAACAGATAATCACCAAGGTTACAAGAAAACATTTTCTTTAAATCATGTATCTTAGACATTTCCACATCCTGGACTAAGCTGTAACTTATTTTTAGATATTTTTAGATTAATAGTAAAAACATCACATTTAGCTCTCAGTTGTGTTAGTGTGGTTTAAGTCTGTGCCTGTTGCTTTCATTAGCTTTAATATTACAACCATACATACTCACATTGAAAGAAATGTTTAAGTTAGCTTATTTTTCTTTGCTTATTTCCCCGTGCTTCTCATGCTGTCCCACCCATAAGTCTTTCTTTTGATAAATCAACGTGTGTATGTGGGATTTGTTTTGAGGGGGTAGATTGGGGCCACTTCTGGCTGTGTGTTCCCAGCAATGCTCGGGGGACCGTTCAGTTCCAGAGATCCAGTGAAGATCAGCCACGTGCAAGGCAAGCTTCTTAACCTCTGGACTTTCTCTTTGGACCCTAAATGTGGAACTTCTAATAGGAATTTCTGAATTCTGTGCAGGACAAATACGGTCTTGGAACCAGGCTTCAGCGACCAAGAGCTGGTGCAACCATCAGTACCCTTGCTGGACTTTCGTAAGTTTGTGTATTAAAAGACTTTGAAGACAAAAGCTGTTATCAGAGTAAATAGTAAAGCGAAAATAAGCTACTGCTCAGTATGATCAAATTAGTGGTTACCAGAAGGAACGGAGAAGTCACAGATCAAAAGGGACATTTCTGTGTTGAAGAGTAGAATTGGCTACAATTGATAGGCTTGTGTATAAATACTGATTTATAGCGATACACAACCTCAAATTTAATATGTTAAATTAATCAAAAAAATTACGGGCCACAGCTGTAGTACAGCAGGAATGGCACTTGCCTTATATGACACAAACCCGGGTTTGATCCCTGGCACCACATAGAGTCCCCTTAACCCCGCCAGGAGTGATCCCTCAGAACTGAACCAGGAACACTAAAAAAAAATTTCTTTTTTGTTAAACTTAATTTTTGATTTGCATTTGTTTACTTTTTAAAACACTAAACATATTCCTTAAGCATTACTTATTCTTTTATGGTGCCAAGGATCAAACCCAAGTCTCATATATGCTTAGTATGAATTTTACCAGTTTAGTCACATATCTCCAAAAATTTTTTAATTTTGTTTGTGAAATCACTTGGCAGTGTTCCAGAGTTATTCTGGGCTCTGTGTTCAGACATGACCCCTGGGAATATTTGGGGTTGTATCATAGGCAACTCCCCGTGGCATATTCGATATGCCAAAAACAGTAACAACAAGTCTCACAATGGAGACGTTACTGGTGCCCGCTCAAGCAAATCAATGAACAACAGGAGGACAATGCTACAGTGCTATCATAGATGATGCCAGGGGTCAAACTGGGGTCACCTACATGCAAGGCAAGCACCTTAACTTCCCGTACTATATTTCCTGCACTCAAAACCAAAATTTTGTCAAAATAAAGGCTAAAAATGGTTATGTGGTAAAATGTTAACAGTGAACATAGATGAAAAGTGAAAAATAAAAATACACAGATATACACACTGTTTAAGGAACAACCCTTCAAAATTGTCAGTGGGGAAGAAGATTATCATATCGCTCTTAGAGAAAGTCTAAACAGAAAGTATAATTTTTACATAGGGAAATTTAGTACATGTGAAGAGAATTATCAGTTCCTTGCTATGGAAGAACACTTCAGTTATTAGATCATAGATTTGAAGGTTGTTAGGTAAACCCCTGAGGAATTACTGTTTTTATTTTTCAGCCTTAAGGAGGGAGAGGACCAGAAAGAGATAAAGATTGAACCAGCTCAGGCTGTAGATGAAGTGGAACCTCTACCTGAAGACTATTACACAAGACCAGTAAATTTAACAGAGGGTAATTTTATTCCTTATGCTACTTTTTTTCTGTTTACATCAGTTATGCTTATTTTACATTGGTCGAACCTTTTTATTTTGAAACTTGTTTTCTTACTTTTTTAATTTTCCTTTGACTTTGGGGACACACACAGCAGTGCTTAGGGCTTGCTGCTCCTGGCGCTGTGCTCAGAGATCACTGCTGGCAGTGCTGCGATAAAACTCAGATCTGCTACACGCAAGGCAAACACCTTAACCCTCATTCTAGTTCTCCAGCCTTGTCTCTTTTCAAATGTTTACACCTTCCCTGCCATCAGTTGCACACTTCACTTTCAGTGTACCCTTGGGGGTCACGTACTTGATTGTGGTACCCTAGAGACTTGCGTTCTTTATTAAGGCACTAGGGATCACAGATTGCAGTGTTGCCAGGAGTGCACACGGAATCTGGGGCAATGCTGCAGCTGGGGTGCTCAGCACCTACAAGCTATACCACTGAGCTCTACCCAGCCCTGGTTTTTTGAGATTTTTTTTTAATGCCATAGTTGTTAGTAGTAAAATAATTGTGTGGAAAAAAAAATAGGTACCCCAGATACAAGGAGTTACCTCATTGGCAGTGTTTCTCCATCCTAGCTTGATGCCTGGTTTGGTGGCCAGAGCTATTTCATTGCTCTGGCATGAAATAGCTCTGGCTCTGGGGCACATAAAAAAAATGAATAAAATACATAACAGTTACTCATTGAGAGAACTTTAAAAATGTCTAACAAGTTTCTGTATTGTTTCTGAAACATTTTCTCAGTAGTTAAGTTGAGGCCGGTCCCTCTAAGCTAATCCTAGTTTCTGTCTTTCGTTAATAGTGACTACGCTTCAGCAGCGTCTTTTGCAGCCTGACTTCCAGCCCATCTGTGCTTCACAACTCTATCCTCGTCACAAACATCTTCTGATCAAACGATCCCTGCGCTGCCGGGTAAGTATTCTAGTCTACTATGTTGCTGTTTGTACAGAAAAAGGGCAAATTAAAGGGAACATGATTGGTATCTGGGTATTATCAAAATCCCTGGAATGTAGTGAATACTTAGGGGAGTGTTCTATATGTGCAGACCCTATTTTAGGCTTGGGCCTTTCGGGGGCTTGTGGGGGATATTTGAGGTATGGGTGGTGGTGCCAGGGTGAAGCCAGGGCCTCACACAAGCAGTCAAGTGCTCTACAACCTAGCCACATCCCTGGCCCCATACACTGTTTAAAATTATTTCGAGGGACTGGAACAGTAGCAGAGAGGGTAGGGCGTTCGCCTTATACATGGCCGACCTGAGTTGATTCCCAGCATCCCATATGGTCCCCCCCCCCCCCCCGAGCACTGCCAGGAGTAATTCCTGGTGCATGAGCCAGGAGTAATGCATTGCTGGGTGTGACCCAAAAAGCAAAAAGAAAAAAAATTCTTCCGAAACAAATTCAGTCTTCATAATCATGTAAGGTATTGTTATCACTGGTTTTTTCCTGGGTTTTGGTGTGGATTATTTGGCGGAGTGGCGAGGAAGAGTCACATCAGGGCCATATCCAGCATTGCTCAGGGGACTATGTGGAGTGCCATGGATTAGACCCAGGCCTCTTTCACACAAAACATGTGCTCTAGCCCTGTTTGCAGCTGTGTGAACTACCCTAGCTAAAGGTCAACTTCATAGTGCTGATAGCAGAAAGAACAGTGAAATCGTGTCATTTTTAGGCTAGTATAGAAGAAATACAAAAGAATAATTAAAAAAAAACACTTATATAAGAAAGCAATTTAAAGAAAAGGGACCCAAAAAGTCGAGGGTCTGGGCCTAGGAATATAGCTCACAGTAGCATGTATATGGCCTTGTGTCTGATTGACAGCACCACTAAAATAAGTAGAGTCTAGGGTCAGAAAATCTACAGAGCAGAAAACAGAGTTACTCAGTGGATTAGAAAATGAAATTTTACAATTTAAGAACAATTCCAGGTGGAGGAAAACATTCTGGATAGGGAATCCAACAGAACTTTCTGTGATGATGGAAATGTTTTGTTTCTGCAGTTCAACATAGTAGCCATTAATTATATATGGATTTTGAACACTTGAATTTTGTACTGAATTACATACTTGAAATATGTATATGTTTGAATTGCATACTGAAAACAAAAAAGGATACATAGCAAGGTAGCAACAGAGGACCAAAGGCAAACACTGGTAGAACTGATCCATACAAGTTTGGGGAGAGGTTAAAGTGGAGGGATGTTGGGTTCTTGGGGGAGGAAGGTGGGTATACTGGTGATGAGTGTGCTGTACATGGGAAACCATCATAAACAGATTTTGTAATATACAGCAGTATTAAATATGTACAGTAGTCTATGGTGTGTGTGTGTATATATATATATATATATACACACACATACATACATACACACACACATCACAGAACCTGTAATACACAGTATGCAGTATTGTACATCACAGAATCTAAATTTTAATAAGCTAAATTTGTTTTAAGAGAAGCTCATTGTCCTGCATACCCAGTAAATACTCTGCATGTGTTATTTTATTGCATTAGGTTTGAAGGTGTAATATTTGGTAGTGCAGTTGTTTATACTTGAAGTCCAAACATATTTTGTAAATTTTGATTATTGGTATTATACGTTCTCATTCAAAACATATGTGGTCTTTTAGTACAATGGTGTTTTAGCAAATCTAGGGAATGCTAAATTTATTGCCCTGTGGAAGAGCAAATTGTCTTCTTGTTTTTCTGATATATCCTGTACTTTTCTTTTCAGAAATGTGAACACAATCTGAGCAAGCCAGAATTTAATCCAACATCTATCAAATTCAAAATTCAGCTGGTTGCTGTGTGAGTTTACTCTTGATTTAAAAGAATTAAAGAAAAACTACATCAGAATAATTTTCCAGTTATTCATGTATAGGTTTTTAAATAGATAATAATGAAGTTTAAGGCAAGTCTGTTAACAGAGAATCAGGGTACTTGTTTATGTCTAAGCCAGGAGTCTTGTGATCTGGAATATTATGGCATGTTGAGTGTTCTAGATAGTCACTAGCCATTCATCACAACATATTAGATGATTGACTAAGTTTAGGAATAGTTTTAAATTAAATAAAAGATAATAAATTATAGCAGACTGAAGAGATCCTTAAAACTTATTTAATTGTGTTCTAATAACACTTGATTGAATGAAATGACAGTGTTAACTTACTGTCAGTGGAAGGGAATTCACTGCATGAAAATCACCTGTCAAACAAGAAAAGGATTTTGAAAAATTAGGAAAATAATTGTCTTAACTTTAAGGTGAAAAGCCTTTCATGAGTAGTCAAGTAGCTCCTAGAGAACACGGCTTAAGATTTGAACTGGTCCCTTACACAAGAGGAAATATACCTGGAAACATGGAAAGATCATGAGACTGGATAAGAAAAGTATAGTTTCTTAGAAAACAAAAAAATTCCATAGTCAAACACATTTGTATATATCGTTAGATTATGCACTGCTGGGGCCTTTTTGGAGAGAGGTCTGGAATAGCTAGATAAAATTACATGCACCTTTTTGCTTTCTCAGGATATTCTATTCTATAGAAATAACATCACAAGTATCTAAAAATATCACCAGTAGGTAAAGTATCTAAAGAAGGATGTGTATTATAACATTTTAATGACAAACTGGAAACAATTTTCTGTCAAGGTGATTAATCATTATAAGGAAGTAATTAAATCAAGGTACACATTCTGTAGAGTATTATGTAGCAGGTAAAGAGCAAGTAAGCCAGTATCAGTTTTTTTAAATGCCAGAATAATAGTAAAGTGGTAGGGCATTTGCCTTGGATACAGCCAATCTCGATGCTCAGTAATTTATGTGGTCCCCTGAGCATCATCCAGGAGTAATTCCTGAGTATAGAGCATGGGTGTGGTCACAAGCACTCAGGTATGGTCCCCTGAGCACAGCTGGGTGTGACCCATAAACAGGAACAAAAAATGGAAATCCTACCTACCTATCAGGGTTATTTAGTAGTGCTTTGCAATTTAAATTACTACTAGGTAATGCTCTGTTTTCCTGACTTACCTAACTAATGTATGACCAGTTAGAAAGGAGCAGTGCTACAAAAATGGTATATGTGAAGTCTGGAATGGATTTCATTCCTGATTAGGAATTAGACTTATTACAGAAACCCTAACTGGCAAGATGTGGTTATTAAACTGTATTTGAGAAAAAGACTTTTTTGATAACACAGCAAAATCACACAGAAATACAGATGCTCTGACCATTAGTCAAACCAGCTAAGTCCAGTCCCTATTAGCAGGACTCTTGAATTTGAGTTCTTTAAATAATCTAAGTAATTCTAATGGAGAGCATGAAAAATACTGTCGAAGCTAAAATACTTTGTCTCAGTTCTAGTAGATACATACCCCCACTCTTAGTGTTTCTGCAATGACATTTTACCTTACGTTAATTTGTTAAGAATAAGATTAATGCATGTTTTAGTCAAACATTTATCCACTTATGTAATGTACAATGAGCCCAAGATATAGGTAAATTACTGACCTTATTGGTATGGAGGTGAGTTGAGAGGGGTCTCCACGCAGTGCTTGGGAAGCCTAGGGCCCAGTAATACTGAGCCTGGCTCTGTCAGCTAGATGCTTCAGTGCACAGATCCCAGTGCTCTGCAGGGCCCATGACCATAACCACGTGAGCTCAGGTTGAGATAGGGAATTTGCAATGTCAAGGATCGAACTGGGGGGGGGGTGGGGGGGGCTGGAGTGATAGCACAGAGGGAGTGCATTTGCCTTGCACACGGCTGACCCGAGTTCAATTCCCAGCATCTCATTTGGTCCTTTGAACACCGCCAAGAGTAAGTCCTGAGTGCAGAGTCAGGAGTAACCCCGGTGCATCACTGGGTGTGACCCAAAAAGCAAAAAAAATACTTAACTCGGTCCTTAAGTTATTACCAGCCCACCCCCCTCTTCACCCCCCACCACCTGTCCTTATTTTATAATTGTGACTACCAAGACACAAAGAGGTGAACATCTTTCCCTGGTCTTTACAAGGAGCTATCTTAGTTTTGTAAATTTCAAACTGGCCTGTAAACTTGGTGGTGTAGCATAATGGTTACAAGCAAGTATCCTCGCCACCTTGCTATCAGGTTACTTCTTCCAGTCCTGTTTTTATCCACAATGCATATTTAAATTTAGTTAAAACGAAAATTACATGGGTTAACATTTACAAAGAGAATGTTTGCATGATACAGGTGCTATATCAAGTGGTGTCTGGAGATTATTTTTACATCCCTACAGTAGTTAAATCAGACTTGAATCTTATAGCCATTTTCCTTTCAGATTTACAGAAATGAACTTATAGAAGCACCAGAGATATAGTACAGTGGTGGAGCTCTTGCCTTGCTTGCAGTCAATTGGTTCAATCCACATCACCTCACATCACCTCTGAGCACCACCATGAGTGATTCCTGAGTGCAGAACAAGGAGTAACCCTTGAGTATCACTGCATGTAGCCCAAAAACAATGAATGAGCTTAAAGAATCTCAAAAACAAGAACTGGGGAGATAGCTCAAAGGGTTGGAGTGTGTGACATTCATGTATGAGGGCCTAAGTTCTATCCATTAACTGCATTAACCCAGCCCCAGTACCCCACTCTATACTGCAGAGTATAGACCTAGTGACACCCAGAACCAACTGTGGTGACCCGAGGGTCTCTAGCAGTGGTGGCCCAGATATTACTTGTATTGACCTTTGGGCTCCCAAAACAGCTGGGAGTGGCAAATAAACAAGTAATAAATAATTCGGAAGATTATACATACATACATACATATATATATATATATATATATAAAACCTGCCATGATGCACATACTCATATAAGCTGTGTATAAAATTTCAGAAGGAACTCACTGCCAGTTCAGATTCATGTTTTAAGTTCTTCTGGTGGGAGAAAAGGAGGGTTCGATTTTGGGGCCACACCAGGTGGCGCTTAGGGCTTACTCCTGGCTCTGCTTAGGAATCACCCCTGGAAGTGCTCAGCGGACCATACATATGTAGTTCTGGGGATTGAACTTGAGTTGGTTGTATGCAAGGAAAGCACCTCAAGGTTCTTGTTGGGTGATCATATGAGTCTTTAAAATTCTTTGATATGTTTGAATTATGAATGAGAGTCTTTGCTTTGCCAGCTATAAAAAGGATTTAAAAAAGACCTTAAATTAATCCTTTTTTTTTTTTCACACATAGCAATTATATTCCAGAAGTGAGAATCATGTCAATTCCTAACCTTCGCCACATGAAGGTTAGTACCATGTTTGTTCCAGGCAGCAAAAGAAGGGATCAAATATGTGTGGGTGTATGTTGGTGGTGGTCATCTGTATTTTGTCTGAAATGCAGTGAGTAAGAGATAAAAAAAGTTTGTATTGAAGAAATTGAGAGTCTCTTTAAAATTATAACAGCATTTCTAAAGGGTGTTTAGGGGTGAGGTATATATTATACAGAAGTAGAATCATATTTGGGAAAAAGGGGGGGAGATAATGTTGACCCCACGGGCAGCATTACCTCTTCTTCAGTCAGAAAATTCTCCACTGTCATGTGCGCCAGTGTGTCAGTTGTCCGAAATCAGCTAACTCTCTTCTTTACTACAACTTTTTTTCTTTGGGGTTCTGTATGCCCTTTTCTTCCCCACCCCTTCCAGTGAATTACAGAATGAAACGTAAGCAGCCTTTTTTTTTTCCTTTATGCGGCTCAGGAAGATACACTCCTATTTCATTTTAAAGATTTGTTCATAATCTTAATGAGCATATCAAACAAGGGCATATTGTAATTTAAGAACTCATTAAAGTCTTTAATACCTGGCAGTAGTCAGGGGATGTGTCCTTGCCCAGTCCATGGAGCTCAGGAATGGTAGGAATTAAACCTGGGACTCCTACATGCAAAAAGCATGCATTCCCAGCCCTAGGATCATAAACCTTAAATTTATTTCAAATTACTTAGAATAATAATTCCTCAAAATGTTCGCATCTAGTAACTAGCCCATTCAAATGTATTTGTTTCATTTCCTCGGGGAAATAAGCCTAATTCCAGAGAGTATATAGTTTAACACTTAAATAATAGACCAGAAATCAGTGATGACTTTGAGAATTCAGTGATATGAAAATATGGTGCACAGAAATATGGGTGTGGAGAGTCAGAGGACATGTGTCTGCCACAAAGGTGTGGGGGATGGCAATGGGGGGTGTTGGCAGGAGGGATACTGGAAACATTAGCATTGGAGAATGGGCACAGGTGGAGGGATGGGTACTTGAACACTGTATGAAACGTAAGCATGCAAATTTCTAAGTCTGATACTATATCTCACAGTGATTCATTAAAATAAATTTTTTTAAGTTATATAACTCACAAAAAAGAAAAGAAATATGGATGTAGAGTAACATGGTAACGATTTGAAACTTTTGTGAAATGCTTGGTTTATCTACTAAAAACATGACCCTACATGGCAGGAGTGGAATGTTTCTGAAAGATGTTTATTCTGTTCCCCAGGAGAGCCAGGTCCTCCTGACTCTCACGAATCCAGTAGAGAACCTCACCCATGTGACGCTGTTGGAATGTGAGGAGGGGGATCCGGATGATATAAACAGCACTGCCAAGGTAAGATTCGTTGGCCTCAAGTTGATTGACCCTGACTTCCCAGAGGGGCTTATTGGACCTGGCCCGTGACTCTGCACCATCTTTGTTTCCACATCCACGTAGAAGTTCTTTTTGATTCTACCCTGTCTTGAACTTTAACCCCAAACACATTTCTGCTGCCCTATTTGAAGATCTCATCTTTTCTTACCCAAATTGTAACCGTAACTTCATTGACCTATTGACCTCATTGTTTTTTAGTCCACCCTGTTCCCATCAGAGTGATCTTTCAAAACTCACTTCAGTAGTGGCATGCCAAACATTGAGGTGAAGTCTAAATTCTTGGGAAGCGTAACTCTTTTATGTCTTTTATGTTTAGCTGTTTATTTGGAGTGAGGGGAGGGATACTGGGTCACTGGTAGTGCTTAAGGGCTACTCTCAGCTCAGGGTTCTGGATTGCTCCTCACAGTGCCCAGAGGACCAGGCAGTTTGGAGACTAAACCCAGGTCTCCTACATGCCAAGTATGCCCTCAGCCCTTGCAGTGACCTCTTTACCCCAATGTCCTCATCTTTATTGATGCAGAATGACCTTACAGATCCCTATATCTAGCTTTCTAGGTGCATAATAAATATGCATATGAGTGTTTATTCTCCAAGCAGATTCACGGGGTTATGAACTTATATGCTGGAAAATTTGTTACTTTCATTTTACCCATTTTACCTTTCTTTCCTCAACTGTGATCATATTCATACCTCTCTGTTTTAGTTTAATGCATTCTTCAGATTCAGGAAATAACGCTTTGGGTGTTCTGGTTGGTTTGGTTTGGGGCCACACCAAGCTCTGCTCAGGGCTTACTCTTGGCTTTGAACTCAGGGATCACTCTTCGTGGGGCTCAGGGAACCATATGGAGTGCTGGAAATGGAACCGAGGTTATCAGGTATGGAAAACCCAAGTTCTCTGTGTGCAGAGTAAATGCCCTACCCGCTCTTCTCTCTCCAGCCTAGAACATTTAAAAGTCTATAGGCGGGGCTGGAGAGATAGCACAGTGGGTAGGGCATTTGCCTTGCACACGGCCGACCTGGGTTTGATTCCCAGCATCCCATGTGGTCCCCTGAGCACTGCCAGGAGTAACTCCTGGGTGCAGAGCCAGGAGTGGCCCCTGTTCATCGCCAGGTGTGACCCAAAAAGCAAAAACAAAAATAAATAAATAAAAGTCTATAGGCTTCTTCTAGGGGCTGGAGCAATAGCACAGCGGGTAGGGTGTTTGCCTTGCACATGGCCAACCCGGGTTCGATTCCCAGCATCTCATATGGTCCCTGAGCACTGCAAGGGGTGATTCCTGAGTGCAGAGCCAGGAACAACCTCTGTGCATCGCTGGGTGTGACTCAAAAAGCAAAAAAAAAAAAAGTCTATAGGCTTCTAGATGTGTTACAGAGGATCCATGTAGAGTATGCACAGCACTTAATAAAGACTGAAATAAGTGATTTGGAATCAAAAGAGACTGACTGTACAGGGGGTTAGGTACTTGCAGTGCAGTTATCCTTGCCCAATCCAAGCATTGCATATGGTCTCCCTAGCATGGCCAGGAATGATCCCTGAGCACAGAGCCAGGAGCTAGCCCTGAGTATATGTTCCCAAAAACCAATAAGTAAAATAAGTGATTCTGATATTTTACTCTAAGTATTGGTTAAATAAATGAAACATGGCCTTTACATTTAATACTTATTAGTAGAGAAATCCTTTATCATTTTTTTCTGCTTTTCAGTTATTTTGCTTATTAGCCTCATTCCCAAAACAAATGGCTCTTACCTGTCTTTGTCTTTATTTCTGTGTTTCTGTAACACTGATAAGAATAGAGACACAAATTAGAGCCTCACACATATATCCTGCTTATAGACTCTTTCTCTTAAATCCTCTAACCACATTTGTATTTGTAACAGAAATAAAATTGACATGATCTGTCATTCTGACATAGCCGCCGGAAGCCTAGTTACAGCACTTGAATGAGCTTGACTATCTTCCATGTGCATGAAACATGCCAAGCATCTCCTTTATAATTTTGTTTGTTCGATTTTGATTTTGGATTTTACCCAGCTATGCTCAGGGCTGCACCCAGCTAGGTGCTTAAGGAACTCTGCAGTGTCGGGGATCAAAATTAGGTCTCTTACATGCAAAGCATGCACTCCAGCTATCTCCCCAGCCCATGTTTGGTGGTTGTTAAATGTGCCAAAGCTTTCACATACACTGGAAAGTATAAAGAATAATGCAACAAACACTCATGTCTGCTGCCTTATTCTTTATGCCCTAACCTCATCTTTAATCTCATTATTGTTTGATCTCATCTTCTTAAAATATAAAACTTAAGAATCAGAGAAAAAGTACAGCAGGTTGGGATTGCCTTGCACTCAGCAGATCTGGGTTCAGTCCCTGGCACCCCATATGCCTGGTGCCATATGGTCTCCCAGGCACTGCCAGGAGTAATCCTTGACTGCCTCAGGTTAGCTAAATAAGCTAAATAAATAAATAAAACATTAATTATTTAGCTAATAATTAATGTTTTAATTGTTAATTATATAATAAAAATAAATTGAATATTAAATTGTTTATTTAGCTCAGTAAGCTAAATAAATAATTAATAAAACTAAAGACATAGCTGAAACCTCTGTTTTTCTCCCACTTGAGTTGCCCAGTGTAGGCCTAGTGAAGGGAGCACTCTCGGCCCCATCCTCAACTCAGATTTTCTGTTCTTTCATTAGAAAGGTCTGTGTTTCTGCTTTTATATATATATATATGTATATATATATATATATATATATAATTTAGGTAACATGTTTACAATAATATTAACTATTTTGAGGTACAAAAGTATTGCATCTTACGGGGGGGAGAGGGAGGCAGGTGAGAGAGGCAAGATAGTTTTTATTAAATGACATTGACTAGAGGGAGAGAAAGAGACGAAAACATCCATGTTCAAGAGAAAATACGGGGGGGCAGGGCTGGAGTGATAGTACACCTGGTAGGACATTTGCCTTGCACGCGGCTGACCTGGGTTCGATTCCCAGCATCCCATATGGTTTCCCGAGCATTGCCAGGAGTAATTCCTGAGTGTGGAGCCAGTAGTAATCCCTGAGCATCACCAGGTATGACCCAAAAAGCAAGCAAACACGGGCTTCTCCAGAGTGGAAGCAAACAGAGAGACGTGTTCAAGGGAGAACACAGGCTTGAAAGAGCAAGTCCAAGAGGGCCAAGGACTAGCCCCTGGTAAATAGGCCTGAATCAGGGGAGAAGCCAGGATTAAGATAGAAATAAGAGAGAAAAAGCACGTAGTCAGGGGGCTCACAGCCTCATGAACTGGGAGCCCTGACTGCCCTCAGCTTCCAGTATTTATTGATTAGAACTAATAAACATCAGAACTATAAACATTCTTTAGTTGAATTAGACTTTTACATAACTGAGGGTGTTGGTCAAATATAAATATAAATAGGTTTAGTTAAGCATAAAGATAAGTATGGGTTTTGTTGAACATAATGGTAAATCCCTTCAGGGGAAATTCTAGGAGCTGTGCCCAAAGGCAGCAGTCCCTCTCAGGGCTCCAGCATTTTGGAGTCTCGTTCCCAACACAGGACTAGTCTTTTTTTTTTTTTCTTATCTTCTTTTTTTCTTTTTTTTTTTTTATTATTATTAGTAAAACACCATGAGGTACAGTTGTAGATTTACAATTTTTTGTGCTTGGGTTTCGATTATACAATGATCAAATACCCATCCCTCCACCAGTGCCCATTTTCCACCACCATGGATAATATCCCTCCCCCCCCATCCCCCCCATCCCTCCCATCCCACCCTGCCTCTGTGGCAGGGCAATCCCCTGTGTTCTCTCTCTCCTTTTGGATGTTGTGGTCTACAAAAGAGGCTTTGAGTGGCAAACATGTTCAGTCCATAGTCTACTTTCAACATGCATCTCCCCTCCTGGGAGGATCCTCCAAACATCCTTTATTTGGTGCTCCCTTCTCTATCTGAGCTGCCCTTTCCCCTAGAATGCCCGGCTGGCCTCTAAGCTATGGAGTAATCCTCCTGGTGCTGACCTCAGCTATTCTTGGGTATTAATCTCATATTTTGTTACTTTATATTCCCCAGATGAATGCAATCTTTCTATGTCTATCCCTCTCTTTCTGACTCATTTCCCTTAGCATGATACTTTCCATATTGTGCCACTTGTATGTAAATTTCATGACTGCATCTTTTCTAACAGCTATATAGTACTCCATTGTGTAGATGTACCAAAGTTTCTTTAACCAGTCATCTGTTCTTGGGCACTCAGGTTTCTTCCAGTTTCTGGCTATTGTAAAGAGTGCTGCAATGAACAAACAAGTGCAGATGTCACTTCTACTATACATTTTTTCCTCTCTGGGATATATTCCCAGGAGTGGTATTGCTGGGTCAAATGGGAGCTCAATTTCTAATTTTTTGAGAATCGCCCATACTGTTTTCCAGAAGGGCTGAACCAGTGGACATTCCCACCAACAGTGAAGGAGTGTCCCTTTCTTGCCCCATCCGCACCAGCATCGGTTGCTTTTGTTCTTTTGGATGTGGGCCAGTCTCTGAGGTGTGAAGGACTAGTCTTTATGTCACTTCTAGTCTGCCTCTTTCATCCCCCGTCTTTACTCCTCACTGTTTGGGAATCTCAGTTTTGTACCCCAAAGGAAAGGCCTGTGTTTCTAAAGAGTATGTTTTGCCATTGTAAATAAAATAATGCTGTAAGTTTTTGAAACTTCCTGCTTGATTCTGTGTAGGTCATTGTAATGATTTGGTTCATTCCCTTGACTGAACGTCTTATAAAACAGTGATCTCATCTGAAGTCTCTGTGTTACTGTCCAGGTGGTGGTGCCACCCAAAGAGCTGGTACTAGCTGGCAAGGATGCGGCAGCGGAGTATGACGAGTTGGCAGAACCCCAGGACTTTCAGGATGATCCTGAGTGAGTGAGCGTCTTTGACCTGCACATACTCAATTGCCTGATCCAAACGTTCACATGCCATATTTAATCATTTATTTCTTCCCTGCTTATAAAAATAATTGCTGTGAGGGTTCTTGCCTTATCATAAAAATAATTAGAGAGTACTTGCCTTACAAATGCAGCCAGCCCCAGTTTAATTCCCAGCACCATATACAGTTCCCTAAGATTGATCTCTGAGCATCAGGCCAAGAATAAGCCCTGAGGACTGCAGGGTGTTAACTCCAAAACCAAATAATTACTATTATTGACTAATGATTATCATAAAATAATTACTATTAATAGTAATAGTATGGAAGTTTGAGGAACATATATGTAAAACATAAAGAATAAAGTAAAATTCTACCACCAGAGATAACCACCATTATTGACGTCTTGATGTTTATCTAAACGTCTAGGTATTTCTTTTCATCATTTAACTTGTTTATTCATTTAAATATATTTCCTCATAGTAATAAAAAATTTTCAAATACATGATGTTTTTTTAATTTTTTATTTTTTTTTATTAGTGAAACACCATGAGGTACAGTTGTAGATTTACTATTTTTTGTGCTTGGGTTTCGATTATACAATGATCAGATACCCATCCCTCCACCAGTGCCCATTTTCCACCACCATGGATAATATCCCCCCCACCCCCATCCCCCCAGCCCTCCCTGCCTCTGTGGCAGGGCAATCCCCTGTGTTCTCTCTCTCGTTTTGAGTGTATACATGATTTTTAATCACTATGATCAGCTCATAAATTCTTATTATATGTTTATCATTGGATTTATTCACTACCTACTTTCCAGCAATAACTGCCTACTTTCCATCAATATAATTACTGAGGACTAAAGCGCAAACCTGTCTCTAAATTAGGTCTATGTTAGTCTTATTCTATTCCTAAGACAAAAATCACATCAGTTTCTCGAACACAAAGAATTCCAGATATAAATTGTTGTGGTCGGGGGCCAGAGAGATAGTACAGTGGGTAGAGCATTTTCCTTGCATACAGTAGACTCGGGTATGATCCATGGCACTACATATGGTCCCCCAAGTCTCACCAGGAGTTTTATTCCTGAGCACAGCCAGAAGTAAACCCTGAGCACATCTCAGTGTGACAGGATATGACTCAGTGATAACATAAATGTGTCACATGTGTTGAGGCCTGGGGTTTGATCAATATATATATATATACACATATATATATAGTGATATATGTGTGTATATATGCATATACGTATACACACACACACATATAGTGTATTGTTTTTTTTAGGGCTGGAGCGATAGCACAGCGGTAGGGCATTTGCCTTACAAGCGGCCAACATGGCCAACCCGAGTTCGATTCCTCCGCCCCTCTTGGATAGCCCGGCAAGCTACCGAGAGTATTTCGCCCTCACGGCAGAGCCTGGCAAGCTACCTGTGACGTATTCAATATGCCAAACACAGTAACAACAAGTCTCGTGATGGAGACGTTACTGGGCCCGCTCGAGCAAATCGATGAACAACGGGAGGACCGTGATTTTTTTTAATGGATTAACTTCAGATGTTAAAGAGAACTCTGAAGTATCCCAGATATGAAGAATTTACCAGGAAAAGATTAGAGTTACTAAAATTTAGTCGGAGCCCTAGGAAGGTTGGGAGGTTGGTAATCGAGGACACTGCCTGACCTTTTCTGACGTCTCAGGTGGGAGAGGAAGGCACAATGAAGCTGCCTCATGGGAGATAGAAAGCTGAAAAATACTGCACCTCCTTAGTGAAAAAGCATTGCAGTCATGATGTCCACAGAAGAAACAGGTCCCTTCTTCCTCCAGCCTCTCTGGTCTCTAAGGCCTTCTGAAAGGGAACCTGACAAAAAGCCAGCCCACAAAGGAGAAATGGTTAGCACAACCCTGTGTCACAGAGCAAGATACAGAAAGAATAGGAGCTTGAAGCTGAAAAGCAGTAACTGAATATTCTAGCAAAAGGAGACTTAAGGCTTTAAACAGAATCATCGAACTCCCTCCGAAGGCAGTAAAGAAGAAATAACATGGGGTAGGTTGGAAAAATTTAGAACACAGGTGAAGTCAGTGCAAACAGTAGCAAATTTGGGTTAACTTTAAAAAACTTCAGGACAAGTGATTCATTACTGTATAGAGGCGAGGAGTTTTTGTTTAAAAAGACTTCCCAGTTATCATTTGTTGCTTGCTCAAAAGATTTATTTGCTTTTACCATTTTTTATTCTTGTTTTGTTTTGGGACTATACTTTGTGGTATTCAGGGCTCACTCCTGGTGGGGCTCAGGGGAACCATATGGGATGCTGGGGATTGAACCTAGATTGGCTACATACAAGACAAATGTACCTGCTGTAGTATCACTTCAGCACATCCTTTTTACCATTTTTAAGTGAATTACTATTGATACAATTCAAAACTCAATTAGCACAAAACCAAATAATTTTGTTTAATACTTTTAGTAAATTCTTAAATTACATTAAATACAGAATTTAACGTAAACTTGTAGAAGGATCATCTGAGATACAAATTACAATTATATTTCTGATAGAGCAATAAAGTGTTGGATTCTGTTAAATTTGTACTTTAGATCTCTGAAAATTAGTATTAACTAATATTCTTATGAATATACAAATATTAATTCTGGTAACTTCTTAGACTAATTTATCATTTGGATAGTAAATTCTGTTTATTTCATTTGATGTGTAGTGGAGGAAAATGACAACTGCCTTTAACTTTTTAAAATTAGGTTATTAAGGGGGCTGGAGTGATAGCATAGCGGGTAAGGTGTTTGCCTTACACACGGCCGACCCGGGTTCGATTCCCAGCATCCCATATGGTCCCCTGAGCACTGCCAGGTGTAATTCCTGAGTGCAGAGCCAGGAGTAACCCCTGTGCATTGCCGGGTGTGACCCAAAAAGAAAAAAAAAATTAGGTTATTAAGACAGTGCCCACTTTTACCAGGTAGCTCACGCTTGAATGTGTTTTAATTAACAAAAATTGCAGTGATTCTATCAACATGTCAAAGCACAAACATCAAGTACACCTCAGAGAAAACTTCGCTGGAAGCAGCAGCTAAAGGGATGTTTTTTATCAATTCTAAAGTACTCTAATTTATAGGAATTGTAAAAACATATGGTATATGTTTTATAAAAAATTATGGTATTGCGGAACTCCTTTAAAGTGTTGAATCTATGTCCTGTGGAAATAATACCACATGACTCAGGTAAATGTAAAGGGATGTTTGTGGCACTGTTAGAGACTGATTATAGTCAATAGATAATAGAGCACTGTACAACCATCAAGTGGAACAGAGGGGAATGTATGTATAGCAATATATAAGTTATTTGGGCTGAAGCGATAGCACAGCGGGTAGGGCATTTGCCTTGCACACAGCCAACATGGCCAACCCAGGTTCAATTCCCAGCGTCCCATATGGTCCCCCAAGCACCGCCAGGAGTAATTCCTGAGTGCATGAGCCAGGAGTAACCCCTGAGCATCGCCGGGTGTGACCCAAAAAGAAAAAAAAAATTTAAAAAAAAGTTATTTGTGATTAAAAAGTGTGCGTTTTGTATTGGATTGAAAAGCACAATTGTGATTGAGCTCAAAATATCTAGTAGATTTCCTCTGTGCTGAAAGGGGAGAACTTATATTTTACATTTAAATATTTTACAGCTAAGTTTATTTTTATAGTATTAGAAAAGTAGATCAGTATTTCATTGAAGAAACTTCATTGCTGACACACAGATGAGGACATATCTTGCCATCAGTAATTTCCTGTTGGCTGTGAAATAACTAAGTCTCGGTGGTGTGGGTGACTTGTGAGCTACCTAACTCTGTACTTATTTCCTTCCATAGCATTATAGCCTTCAGAAAGGCCAACAAAGTGGGTATTTTCATCAAAGTGACCCCACAACGTGAGGAGGGCGAAGTGACCGTGTGCTTCAAGATGAAACATGATTTTAAAAACCTGGCAGCTCCTATCCGCCCCATGGAAGAAGGTGACCAAGGCACAGAAGTCATCTGGCTCACCCAGCACTTGGAACTCAGTTTGGGCCCACTCCTTCCTTAAACGGTTCCATTGGCAGGCAGATTCCAAAGGACAGTATCACCACAAACATGCGTTAAACTTTGGAAACCACTACTTCATTAGGCCTTGTTGATAACAATGGGCTTATGTACTGCTGAATCCTATTCCATCAAGGGGAGAGGACAATATGTAAGCTTTGGGAACACAGGGTCAAAGCTCTTCCCCTTGCTTTCATTTATGTTGACACTAAACTTGTCTGCCACACTGAATCTTGCATGTTGAGTAACAGCAGCGTGGTTTACCCCAAGAAAGTTCCTTAGAACTTTCCATTAGATTTGCCTCTGAGACACTGTATTGTCTTCAGATTTGGCCACAGAGGATCACAATGTCACAGATGAAACTTAAAATGAAAATTGGAGCCACAGGTAGGGCATTTGCCTTGCATGCAGCCGATCCAGATTTGATCCCCCGCATCCCATATGGTCCCCCAAGCACCACCAGGAGTAACTCCTGAGTTCAGAGCCAGGAGTAATCCCTGAGCATCGCCGGAGGTGACCCAAAAAGCAAAAAAAAAAAAAGAATTATAGAAAGTAAATCTTGTTAAAGCACCCACTGTTTTCTGCATTTCATTGGATGTAATCGAGTGGTCTAAACAGTCCTTCACTTGCCATCACAGTTTCATCATTTCATAAATTCTCATTTGACAAAAAGAAGTCGACATTAGCTTACTTTTCTGATGATTGGGGAAATCTGCCATTTTTAAGGTGCTGTCGTTTGGCCTTATCTCACTGAATACAAGATAATGATCAGTGGCTCCTAAAACTTTTCCAGTGTAATAGTGAACTGTTAGGGAGAATTTGAAAAGCGGATGATTACATATCGTGCCAGAGACGGGAGGAGGAAGAGGTGGAGAGGGGTGTGCAAATGTCATTTAATTCAAATGTTGCCCTACTATCCATGGGTCAGCTTCTCCATGGGAGGCAATTTGTGTGTGTCTCACTCCTTTCCCCTTTCTTCCAATCTGGCTCTTTAAACTCAATACACGATTCTGAGTACTTGGTACCTGGAAAGAGCCTAGTGAAACTTGATACACAGGTACACTTCTGGAATGCGGGAAACATGAGGCTAAGTGTTTAGCAGGGTTCTTTCCTTTGAATTGAACTGCGATTTTGAATCCAAAATTGTATTTAAGCTGATGACTTTTGTGGACGTCACGCAATACCATTTTGATTATAAACCGTAAAGTAATCCAGCACATAGCCAAGAACACTTGCTTACCTTCACATGCTGTTTTCACTCTGTGTCCTGGAATTGCTAACCCTGATCCTGTGATGTTTCTAAAATAGGGCTCAATAAAGTAAACCAACTGTACCACTTCTTTTTTTTAAAAAATACAGCAAGTGACCACAGATCTTTGGGGAAAGAGAAATTTCCTTTTACCCTGATTTTTAGTTCAAACCTTTAGTTTGAAAAACAAAAAACCTAAGATAGGATATAGGTCACTTTGGAAGATAAAATATTTAGAAAATCTTTGAACTATATACCAATTGTATTCTTCTTAAGGTCGGGACAATTTATGAAACAATATTCCACAGAGTAACATATATGCTGCAGTATAAAAAAAAAAACACATATCTCTAATATGACAGCGAGAAGGTTTAACTTCTTAGGAGTTGGGGCGGGGGTAGGGAATCATATAATGACAAATTTTCAGACCATAGAAATGGATTTCATTTTTCATTATACCATAGAGTGTTAATGTAATGTTTATTTTGCAGTTTGCTAAAGGCTACTTTGAAACCACTGCTCCGTACTTACCAGTGGAGGAAATGGGCACCAAAGTAGAGAATAGCTTCAGGTTTACATGTTTGCATAGACTGTATACTGTTTGTAGTGCATTTATAGCATGTAGGTGGTATTTGTTCCCAGAAGTAATGTTGAACTAGTTGGGCTCATTACTTCCATGTGACCCAAAAATACAGAGACACCATAAATTACAGAATTTCTTCTCTTCTCAAGCCAAATTAACTGCAGAATAACAGAGCCATTGGTTTAATGTTTGTTCAAGATATGGAAATTTGCATTCTATGTAAAATTTTGCTTAACAATGTAGTGAAGAATTGGTTCCATGTCTGCAGCTGATAAATTTATAATTTGTTGCCTTTTTTATATTAGAGCAGGTACAAAATTTTGATGCAGCAGAATTAGATATTATTAGCACTTGAAACCACAATTTCAGAGATTTAAGGCTTTGTGATTTGATTAACCTACCAATCTTCTGTTACAAATGCTTATAGGCATAATAAGCTAAATGTCCGCATATTTGTGAAGAACATCCTATTTGATCCTTTTGGGAATAAGAAGCACTCCTTGATCTTTATGAATGACAGGTTACTGGTTTGCTTTATTGCTTAACAATGTAGTAAAATAAAGAAGACAATGCTTCAGTGTGGTTTGTTTGCTGTACTGGAATCTGGTTGGAATAACATGACTTTTAGTGAGAACACGTCAGTGGGGCATATTTCTTTCCATTTTCTAAGTGAATGAATCCAAAACCATATTCTGGGGCCTGGGAAGATAAACGCAAAGGGCTGGAGCGTATGCTTTGCGTGTGGAAGACCAGGGTCCATTCCCCAGCACCACCTAGTTTCCTGAACACAGCAGGTGTTATCCAAAAATTAAAAGAAAAAACCTCTTTACAAAGTAAGCAGGTGTTTATTTGAGCTGTATAAACATTCCCAGAACCTTCGTGTGAAATTTACAGTTTTTTGTAAGGCTCCTACCAGCGTTTTACTCTGGGTCCAAAGATAACTTCTCCACTATGCAAAAGGTCCCAGTCCTACCAAGTGACTTGTCTGCACTAACATCCATCTGCATATAGGTGGACTGTGCACACTCCTAGTACCAACCCCACCACTTGAGTGATTCCAACCTTTTTACACCTGCAGACTGGACAGTGGTCACCATTGTCCAGTATTAAATATATTAAAATCCCTTTATTTTGCAAGCCAGCAGGAAATTTTCTGAGGACCAGCACTGGTTTCTGACTACTCTGAAAACAGATTTAATTGACTCGGTCTCATTCTCTACCTCTTCAGCAGTTCTCCCTCTCCTTTCTCATTTCTTGCATGCTGATTTTTTTGTTTTTGTTTTGAGGCTACACTCAGCACTGCTCATGTATCACTCACTCCAACTCAAGAGGGTTGTTCCCCCAAGGTTCTGGGAAGAAGGGGAAACCACAAAATGTCTGGACAATCTCCCCACATGAAAAACGTGTACTCCAGCCCTTTGAGCTAGCTCAGTGGCCCCAATTTCTCATTTTATAGAAGAAAATTACTTCATATCTCTCTTTAACTACCACCCCATTTCTCTGCTTCCATCATGACAAAACTTCCTGATTTCCTATTTGATCCTCCTTGTCACCTCTCAATCCATTCTACTCTTGTAAAGGTTCCCTGTGATTCCTTAAATCTCTGTTTGTCTGTGTATTCTTTCCGGAAGCAACAGAAGGTTGTCCCCTTCCTTTCAGACTTAACTCGCTTCTCAAAATACAGAACTTCTGGTTTTCCTTCTACCTGACTAGCAAAAAGTACACATCATTTGTCGGTTCTTTTCCTTCTTCCCTTCTTCCTTTTTCCTTCTTTAACACTTTGGTTTCGTAGATTTAGTACTAGTTTCTCTGTACCATAATTTTCTCAAATCGTAAGTATTCTCGGGGCTAAATAGTCTAGTAACTTAATGTAAAAGCAAAAGAACCTGTTTAGACACAAGTTCCTATAAAAATTTTAGGTAACAGTGAAAGATACTTAAGCTGTCAGAGTTTATATGAATTCAAAACCCCTTTAATTTAACTTTGATAATTTTGTGCAGAGGTTCCAGTGTTATTGAAATTACACCTCTGTCAAACAGCCTAGTTTATTTTTTTCATTCCTTCCAAAGCATTTTTTTATTTTGACTTTGATTTTTTTTTAATTGAATCACTGTGAGACAGTTACAAAGTTTTCATGTTTGAGTTTCGGTCATACAATGATCAAACATCCATCCCTCCATCAGTGCACATTTTCCACCACAAATGTCCCCAGTATCCCCCCTCCCCATCTCAAGCCTTCCCCTGCCTGTGTGGCAGACAATTTCCACAATACTTTCTCTCTACTTTGATTACATTCAATATTTTGACACCAGTCCCACCATTATTATTTGGAATTTTCCCACCACCACTCAAACCTGCCGAAAAGGCAATGCTAGGCAATTTGTTTTGTATTGCTTGTTATGAATAGCATATAATGTTGCACTGCCACAAGAGTGACCATGCACTCCTGGAATTCTAAAATTTTAATAATTAGGGTCTGGAGAGATGTCAGCAGTGAGCTGCTCAGTTCCAAAATTCATTTATGTGTCTCTGGATCATGGCCGTTTAGAAGCTTAATAAGTAGCCAGGGGAAGTTCGTGGATGCAGAGACTTGATGCAGAGTCCCATGGGGAGGGGGAGGAGTGAGACCAGCTCCTCCTCTGTCCCATGAGACCTAGCGTTTGCATACCTGGACTTTTCATTAAGTTATGGAAGATAGCAGCCACCAGGATTCCTAGGAGGCAGATGACTGAAGTAAAATTTGGCAAAAGTCAAACAGCCTAATTTCTAACTGAAATTAGTCTATGCTTGCAGGATAAAGTCCTGCAGCTAATTCACAGAGCTCTGAGCTCTGTTCTGCAGCTCTTTCTGCAGAGGCCAAGTTATGAAGCTCAAGAATTTCAAGTGTAAACTTGATCACTTGATCACTTGACTTCCCGTTAATCGTCGATTTGCTCAAGCGGTCGCCAGTAACGTCTCCATTTGACCCTGTCACGTGCTAGTAGCCCAATGGCATCTGTTTGTTCAAGGAACATGAAGAGGCTCAAGTCGATCGTTCATGATCTTGATGCAGAAGTTTGACCATCTGGTAGGTGGGCTGCCACGTGGTCTTTTGACGTCCTGTGGAATCCAGTCCATAACGACTCTAGTCCAGCGGTCGTGTCTAAATCTCATTACGTGTCCAGCCCATCTGATTTCTGACGCCTTGGCAAACAAGACAGCGTCCCTGATTCTTGATCATTGACGGCGGAACTCCGGATTCGTTCATTTGAGTGAAACGTGATACTCCAAGCATAGCTCTTTCAATTCCTCTTTGGGAGACCCGAATAGCGTTCTCATCCTGTTTGCATAGGGCCCAGGTCTCTGAGGCATATGTTAATGCAGGAAGAACAGTGGAATCAAAGAGATGTGCCTGGAGCTGGAGGTTCTTCATCCTCTTAGCTATTTCTTCGACGCTCTTAAAGGCGTTCCAAGCCGCTCTCTTCCTCCTGCGCAACTCAGGTGCCAGGTCATTCATCATGTTGACTTCTCAACCTAGGTACACATAACTGTAGCATTCGGAGATGGCCGTTCCGTTGAGAGCGAATGGAGTGTCAGAAACGAGGCTGTTTCTTGTAAACATTGTCTTCGTAAGATTCAGCTGTAGTCCGACCTTTCCACACTCACGGTCGAAGTCGGCCAGCATTTGTGCCGCTTAACTAATGTTTGGTGTTATTAGAACAATGGCATCAGCTAAGCGGAGGTGGTGTAGTTGCCGACCATCTATCTTCACTCCCATTTCTTCCCATTCCAGTCATTGCATGATGTTCTCGAGGGTGGCACTGAAGAGTTTTGGTGAAATGGTATCACCCTGCTGAACCCTTCTCTTGACATCAATGATTACTTCTTTGTAGAATGGTGAGATCCTGGTAGTGAATCCATAATACAGCTCACGGAGGATCCTGATGTATTGAGTTTGAATGCCTTGATTGACTAGGGCTTCAATGACTGCTTCCTTCTCAACAGAATCAAAGGCCTTCTTTAAATCAATAAATATTAGGCAGAGCAGCATCTTGAACTCCCAAGAAACCTCAATGAGCTTGGTTATCATGTGAATATGGTCAATCATGCTGAATCCTTTTCGGAAACCGGCTTGCTCGCATGGTTGTCCTTCATCTAGTGTTCTGCCAATCCTATTCAGGATGACTCGAGTGAACAGCTTGTAGATGACAGACAATAGGCAGATGGGGCGATAGTTGCCAATGTCATGGATGTCTCCCTTCTTGTACAGTAGTACAGTCCTGCTGGTTTTGCATTGGGACGGAACCTTGCATTCAGACACATAGCGTGTGAAGAGCCGAGCCAGTGTATTGATGAGTACTGACAGCAGGTTCTTCAGGTGTTCAGGTCTGACCTTGTCTGGGCCGGGTGCCATTCGTTTCTTTACCGACGAAATGGCGTGTTGGATTTCGGAAGGGAGAACATTGGGAACAACATATCCATCCTGTGGAATTTGGTATGTGGGCAGGTGGACATGGCTATCAAAGAGATCTGAGTAGAAGTCATGGACAATCTTCTCCATTGCCCTTCTGGAAGATGTGATAGATCCAGCAGGACGTCGGAGGGCAGTCATCTTGGTCTTGTAGTTGGCAAAGGACAGGTGGGCATTACGAATGCTTTCCCCAGCTTCTGCCGCATCTACCAGCACTTCTGCTCTTCTCTCTTTGAGGTCTTCCTTGATCGCATCTCTGCACTGCTTAGCAAACTCAGATGTTCACTTGCGGTTGCCTGAGGCATGTGCCAAGCCAGGTTGGTGAATAAGCTCAAGAGTTTTCAAAGACAGGCGTTTTTTTGTAGCTATCTCTCCCTTGGCGTTCCTCACACAATCATGGAGGTGCTGAACCAGTCAATCATATTCCTCATCAATGTTGTCAACAATGGCATCTTCCCATGTTGCCGCAATAGTGCCAAAGAGCTCCCAGTTGGTGGTCGTTCTGGGAGTTCTCTTCTTAAACTTTGCAGCTCTTTCTCACCACTCTGTGAAATAGAATTTTGCACGAAGGAGACGGTGGTCTGATCCCATTTGGAATTTTGGGACAACAGCGACATCGGTCAGGCAAAACCGTTGATTGAATATGATGTGGACCGTTGATTGAATGTGATGTGGTCTATTTCGTTGTGGAACTGTCCACCGGGAGACTCCCATGTCCAACGTTTAGATTCGGCCTTCTGGAAGTGTGAGTTACCATGGATGGTCTTGGTCTACATGATGAACTCAGTCTCTCACCCTATTCATTCCATTCTAGGCCATGGGTCCCGATGTGGAGTTCTTCAGCTGATCTTCTTGGTCCTATCTTGGCATTAAAATCACCCACAATGATCTTGTAGAAGGTGTGTTCTTTATAGAACTTCTCCAGCTCCACGTAGAACTTCTCAATTTCTCCTTTATCATAATTGGGTGTTGGTGCATAGACAATGAAGATAGAAACTGCAGGCAGTGAGCCACATCTATTCAAATGTAAACGTCCGATTCAGGTTGTTAGGCATTCGAATGAATCAATGCTCATGGCCAAGTTTGTGTTGACAAGGACACCGACGCCTCTGACGCCTCTTTTGT